GAGCATGGACGTAGCCAGCAAAGACAGTAGCAACCCGTCCAGATTTTGTCAGGGAGAAGTAACATAAAGATAATGCATTAAAGAAGAAATAACCATATTTTTGATGGCTGTTATAATTATAGGGTTTCTATCAATTATGGAATATCTCAAAATGAAGATGATGATCTCCTCTAAGTATGGCTAAATTGAAAATGCCAGCATTTGCTGGTGATTTCTTTCTTATAGAGTAGTTAATCAGAGACGATATATCAGATGAGCACGGAACAAACATTGATACTTTTGTATATGTGTCATCCCAATATATCTGAGATACAATAGCAGGTAATGGATGATGAGTGGAGCTGAGAAAATTATAGCTTCTATTTCCCTCATAAGTAGTTCTGTAAGTATCGGTGACTGGACTACTTATGGTACTCCAGTTTTTGGAGGTAACATCAACCATTTAATGGAAGTAATGATTTTTGATTGATAATATGGCTCTGCGAGACTATAACAATCAGCTGTATACCTTCAATTAATCAGGGATGCACAACCTTTTCTGAAGAAGGGCCAAATTAGGATTAAGTTTACTGACTGGGGGCCGGACCTCCAAGTGATTAATGCGATGTTTGATGCAATTTGCGAGATTCTTTGTTGTATCGTCATGTGGTTAAGACTGATTGTTTGAAAACACTGTCTTCTCAGGACACATCTCACTTGCAATGATAAGACACTTTCTTATCATATAGCCATCTGTGAAAGGTTTCCCATTCTTGGCTATTAAAGCAGATATTTCTAGGCTGGCTTCAACAGCCGCATCCAATTCTCCAGATTGTTTCTTGAACACATTTTGTTGGCTGATTAGTGATCGTCATAACGATTCGATTTTCCGTTTGCGTTCCGTACCTTGCAGAAGGAAATCCTTGTGTTGGCTTTCATGATGTCGCTTCAGGTTGAATTCTTTTGGCACTGCTATTGTTCCATTGCACAAAAGGCAAATAATGCTGTTGTTCTGTTGCACAAAACAGTACTTGTTAGTCCACACTTCCACTTCTTGAAACTGATGATTCTCGCGATTGACCTTGCGTTTAATGCCCGGCGCCATACTGTTCACTCTGCAAAACAATGTCTCATTGTGCCGAAAATTCTGAGGCCCGCAACAAATCATGTTTGAGATAAGGCAAGCTAGACTACCACGTGCTTTGTTCTGTATCCACTCTGACCAAAGACTAAAGAGGCAGGGACAGAAGACTATTACGCACACGTGGCCAGGCAGGTCTTAATTCGTTCGACCCCTGTCCGGGCGTCTCCACCATTTCTCAGAATTTGTGAGTCAGATCGTCAACATGCCAGGTGCAGGACACTAATCCATCATAAATGTGGTTACCATTCTTACCTAAATTATATTTATGGCCCGTCAGTTTTACCCCCGTGTTCAGAAATGAATCAAAAGTGATTAACACAGTGCAGTGGAAAATCTGAATATTTTAAATATAATTATTAAAATTGCGATATCTCGTTTCAAATTGGCGCTAGAATCAATTTTTTTTTTTTTTCTGTCCTAAATATATCACAGTTTACGACTGTTAAATTTCAAATAAAATAAAAATTAAAAATAATAATTTAATTTTAAATTTACGAAAAAAAGAATGTAAAAATAAAAGTAAATAAAAAGTTCCAATTAATTTACTACTTAAATAACCTAAATATATCTGTTTTCTTTCAAACAAAAAAAACCGCAGCTTTCTAGCTACACGGAATCATTTTACAACCCTCTTTGTTGACAAGTTTATGGCTTGACGCGGTTTGTAATAATTATTAAATCCAAAATATTTTAATGCAAATGGCTTCCTTTTAGTCGTAATGACTCTATTCCAACTACAGTATTAATTTTCTTGGTCCAACTTAATAATAATAAATTTGATGTGAAAAATTTTTTTTCTATTCTTTGTCTATGGAGAGATATTGTTGTAAATTATTGGTTTTATAGCTTTTTGTACATTCCTTTTTGAACTCTGGTTAGTTTTTTCTAGTTTGAATGACATTAGGTTGACGAATAAGCGTCTTTTCAGAAAAGATTGATTCAAATTCGACTATACCAATCAGAATCTAGAATGTAAACAAATGCTAAAAAATCGTTATTTTCATGGTTTTTCAGCGCTATTTTCACTTATTTTTGTTATTTGACACTATTTAGACGAATAGGCAAGTTTTCCGAAGCATAAAATTGAAGATTTTCCGCCAAAATAGAAACTTCCCGATAACATCGGAAATGACGTTCTAACATCATTTTAAAATATTCGATATCTAAACCAGAAAGTGTTAGATAGAAATAGACTTATTTATAGAACAATCCCCCATTTCTCACCTCAGGGAAAGTCATAAAACAGTTGGGTGCTAATGACATTGTGAAAGGGAAAAAGTTCTACACTTAGAAACTTCGAAAAAAGTGATTTGGCCTGTACCGTCCGCGGGCCGCATAAACATTGATAGGGGGCCGTATGTGGCCCGCGGGCCGCAGGTTGTGCACCCCTGAATTAATAGTGCATTCACTAGCATGACGGCAACAAGGAAATTAATTGTACCCTCTGCTTTCTTTCAGCAAGCTTTGTGCAAAAATAATTTACTTTGCACATTTTGCTAGGAATATATTTTTCTGGTGATAAATATAATCATATTTATATTGGTTAAGTGCACTTAATTATTTATTCCCTTTTGGCAGGTCTCTCAGAAAAGCATTAGCTTTTCTCCTTGTGGGTTCCGGTTCAAATTCAGTAGGCGTGCCTGCAATTTACTGCATGCAGTTTGGATCTAGTGTTGTCTAGTCATTGTGAGTTTGACTTGCCTTAATGGGCAAAAATAGTCTGGCTTGTAGGTTGTTGGATATCGTGCATGAAATAATGGCATGGAGTATTAAGTGTCCACTCGTGTACGTCGATGATGGTAAACCTGTGACCAATTTGATAGTTTTACTGTATCCAAATTGAATGTTTAGAAAGTATTGGGTTTTTATAAATTATTTGACAGATTTCGAAACTTTGCACACACAGTGTGAAAGCAGGGGTCCTAAAGTTGTCTCAAAAGTCTTAAATTGTGAATCTTAGATACAAAAATTTTAATTAAAATACAGTGGGTGATCGGTTAACGAACATAATCCGTTACAAGACTTTGTTCACTATCTGAATTGTTCATTAACCGATTATCGATTTACCATAGGTTTCTATGGGAATTTGATTAATTCGTTCTGGAGATCCTCTAAAAATAAAAAAATTATACTTTCTTACTATGTTTATTCATATGTAATAATAAAAATACATATATACATGGTCTTGCATTTTTATTAGTCATGTTTTTTCCGTTTCTGGGGGTTATAAATCTGTCCAATGTCGATTGGTTTTCTGTCTTCTTCATGATTTTTCAGAAATAATTAATAGCATTGTAATTGTAGAGATCCCTAGGTCTATTAACCTCAACCTAGTTTGGATGCCGTTGTCTGCCTGGTTAAGACTGTTATTTTGACATCCTCCCACTTTCTCAAAAGATCTTTAATAGCAAATATCGGCATAAATCCTCATTTTCAGAACAAAACATAAAAGAATTGTTTTTGTCAGAAATATAAAAAGCTGGAATTACAAGGGAGAGTTTCAAAGTTTGGGGGAATACTATCCGATCAGTATATACTGGGTAGAACATCGATGTCGACGTCTCCCACGCTCCGAAAAGTTTCGAATTGTTGCCCGAAGATGAGGGTAGACCAGTCAGTATTCATTATTTTACCTCACTGCTTCTTGTGTTTGTTCAGTGAAGTGTTCGTTATCCGAACGTGTTCATTGTCCAATCATAAAAATCTTTCATGAAAGTGTTCGTTAACCGATCACCCACTGTATTTGACCCACAGTTGGAGTTAATAAATTTCAAATTCAATTTTGATCCGTCTTTAGTAAAAGGTTTTCCATAGCTGGGATAGGTTGCTCTGTCAGATGCCACTTGTATAACAATGATTACTATTAAATATCCAATGTACACATTTATGTTGGGTGGTTCTCATCAAAAATAAACATGACGAACACTACTGGCTGCATGAATTGTTCATTCACTGCAATGTATAGGATAACAATGGTTCTGCAGCAAACAATACAATACATCATTTAAATACAGATGATAATATCACAGTCTATGTTGGCACTATGGATACAAGAGTCTGGTCTTTGTAATTAAAGCTGAAAATATTAGTCTCCCTGCTTATTGCATGGCACAGCTCTCTCTCACAATTTTAATTCACATAACGCATCCTTGGCAATGCCTTCCAATGTCAATGATGATAACTGATTTTATTTGCTTTGCCACCGATGAGCCACGGAAGAAATAAAATTATCACACTAGCATTATTGGTAATTTGCAGTTTATAAAAATATTTTGGCCAATTTTATCTTTAGAAGATTGTGTCGAGAGTCATGGCAGTGACTCCCTGCCAAGTAAAAAGTCACTGACCTAACTGTAAATATACAAGAATCAGATTTCTGATTTTCAGAGGTCGATTTCTTGCCCCACAAATGTCTGAAGTAATTCCGAATATCTCATTCGAAAGGTAATTGTTTTCTTAGGTAGCTTGCAAAGTTTCAAGATTTTCTATAAAGCGATTGCTGAAATATAAGCAGTCGAAAAGTGCAAGAGTCATCAAAACAGCTGTATTTTGTTCTTTTTCTTCTGGCACTGCAGAACTTTGTAGAGAAAAAACAACTGGGTCTAGAAAGGTCAGATTTTAAATTTAAGCCTTTCTCATTATCAGTGAGATGCTGGCAAAACTTCTAGGTCAATAGTTTGTGGGGGATTTCCCCATACAGCTATTTCTGTTTTATGACTTAATTTTATGCTTATAATGATAAAATAGCATGGAAATGAATGAATTTTATTCAAAATATTACTAAGAATATCTCAACTGTTTGTTTGGATTAAGATGTCTTTTCCACTTGTATGATGAAAGATAACTCTATATCAATCATCAAACTGTTTTATTTCAGATACTACTGTGACTACTGTGACACTTATCTGACACACGATTCGGTAAGTCATTTCTTAAGAATCTACAAGCATTCTAAAAAATTTACTGTCATTTTATTTATTTTAAAGCCTTCTGTCAGGAAAACCCATTGTAATGGACGGAAACACAAAGAAAATGTGAAATTTTACTATCAAAAGTGGATGGAAGAACAGGCCCAAAACTTGATTGATGCGACAAGTAAGATTTTTGTACTTTGCTTTATTTCTTTTTGTGGAAAATTTATTTATAATACACTTTAAAAACATTTTAGCTGCTGCCTTTAAGGCCGGAAAGATACAATCCGGCCAGTTTGGACAGCCGCCGAAACCTCCAGGTGTCCCACCCGGTGGCGCCATGATACCACCTCCTGCTAGTCTGCAAGTGGGTAATCCCAGGCAGCCCGCACCCAGGATGCCCATGGTCGGACCTCCTCCCGGAATGGGACCCATGCCCGGTCCCATGCCGGGACCGATGCAGATGATGGGTCCGCCCGGGCCCATGCCACCAAACATGATGATGCCAGGTACTCTTTTACACCCATTGAATTGTCACTATTCTACGGATGAGATTAAAACTTGTTAATTGATTTCTTAGGTATGCGTCCTCCCATGGGGCCCATGATGCCGATGGGTCCCATGCCTGGACCGGTCAGACCCCCGATGATCGCATCCAACACCTCTCAACCCCAACCGCCACCGCAGCAGCCGGCACCCCAACCTCCGACTAGTAAAAAGTAATAGACCTCGGATGAATCAACGTGTTTGTACAGTACATAAAACTGCTCATCATCGGCATCTTAAACTTTCCATTTATAACATTTGTCTTTTACATGACGATTTGAAAATAAATTTAAAGACTAATCTAGATCTTTTTCATTTCTACTTCTCTCTCCATAATTTCCATTAATACACACAGACCAGCATAGACAAAGGGTTGCATTGCTGGGCCTCAATCGTGGCTATCAATTCACTTGTCTTTGACTTATTTATCCAGCTCATGGCTTTACATTTCATTATGCAAACACCATCATCCAGAAATAAGTAATGAAGATTTGAATTAAGTGACATGGTTATTGTGCATTTTTTGCTCGCTTATTGTTAAAAACAAAGAGTGAAATTAGTTATTTCAAAAGATTTGAAGGATGTCGCTGGCATTTTAGGTTTGCAGTGTCCCGTACAACTTATATGCTTGCCAGTGATAAATTTTCACAGCCCTCACCACTTGACTGCCGTGCCCCATTGTGGGTCTGGCTGAACTCATAATGTGCAAATTGCTTTTGCTTCTTTATGGATTAGTTAGCATTTTCTTATTGTTTTTAATCAGGTTGATTTTTCTCATGGCAAATATTATCCAGGTTTAATCATACATAATTTTATTGTGGCATGTTTTAAATTTTACATGTGCATTTCGGGCTAATGTATTGTCTTAGCCCCTCTTCAATGCTGTTTAAAAAACATTACAATAAATCATGACACATTAATGTACAGTAGACCCCCCTAAAGTGGAGATTCCTATAATGTGGCGAAAAAATTGCTACAGTATTGTATAAAGACGCTAAAAGGGACTCGTAAAACGTCGTCGCCGACTTGTGTCGCGACAGGATTGGTCGAATCTGGATCAATAGTGGACGAGCAGTCGAACTACGTTCCACTGTCTAGCGCCACACTATGGAGAGTTTAGGCGAATAAGTTGAGTTTACTATCGTCTGTACAGTATGTAAATTAGGTACTGTAAGTCTAATACAGCACTAATTTTATACATTTGTTGTGAAAGAAACATTTCTTATTCAACAGTCATTAAAATTATTTCTATTAATGATGTCTCCAAAGTTCAGCGAATTTTTCGCAGAAAAATAACTTATCAAAAATCGTGCCCGCCATTTGGTGTGCTGCTCCGCAACGAAAACAAGCTTGAGCAACGGCGATGTCGAATGGTGCACACTCGGTAAGTAATCCTACAATTTTTTGTTTATAGCGTAGTTTATACGGATTATTTCCAAAAAATTATACATGTTTTGGAAATGTTAAGTCGAATTAGTCTGGAATAGATTAATTTTATGGAAGAAAACCTTTCAAACAGCCGTAGTCCGTAAACTTCACACATGTCAGGCTGCGATTGGCTTGTGTATTTAAGGATTCCTACAATGTGAAATTCGTATAACGTGGAACGTACGAGGGCTGTTCAAAAAGTATCGGACCTTTGGTCGGCAAAAATACATTTATTGCTTTTGAGGTACAAAACCCTAATCCCTTTCAAAGTAGTCTCCTTGGTAGTGTATACACTTCTCCCAGCGTTCCTGTCATTGCTGGAAACACTGCTGGAATGCATCTTTTGGAATGGCCATCAGCCGGTCCGTCGCATTCCGCGCGATGTCTTATCTTGACTAAAATCGGATTCCTTTTAGCAGCATTTTCAGCTTGAGAAATAGCCAAAGGTCACATGGAGCCATGTGGGGAGAGTACGGAGCGTGATGAATCACAGGAGTGTTGTGTTTGGCGACGAAAGCCTGAATCAGATGTGCAGAATGGGCGGATGCGTTATGACGATGGAGTTGCTAAGTTTTGATCGACCACAGATCCAGTCGTTTGCGTCACACAGCATCGGAAAGACGATGAAGGACCTCCTGGTAGTACTCCTTTGCGATGGTTTGGCCTTGTGGTGCGTACTCATGATAAACCACCCCAAGAGAGTCAAAAAAACTGACAACATGACTTTGATATTTCTGCGGCCTGCCACACTTTTTTTGGCCTTGAGGATCATCCCCGAAAGCCTGCTGAATCTTGCGAATGGTTTATGCTTGGGTATTGACGAGGTTTTTGGCAAAATTTGATGTAATATCGCTGCTCACGTTGTTCAGTCATTTTACAACTTAGTGGAATCCGACAAGAGCTCGCTACATGTCCTCACTCATAGGCCGACTGCCAACGACTGACGTTTCCTACAGGTGGGAAAAAATTCAGAGCTGTGCATGACTGTCCTTTCCACAACTCCACCGAAAGAGGCCTCCCGCGCATCATTGGTTTACGCAGAGAAAATAAAAGTCCGATACTTTTTGAACAGACCTCATATCTACGCATTATAGGGGGGGTCTACTGTAAATCGCAACAACATAATTACTTTCATATGCAAGTTATTAGAATTCAAACCACTGGTACACAATCTTAAGATACGAGGTATAAGTATGCTTCATATGTTATTCTGGCAAATTATCAAACATGGTACTTTATAACATATTACTTTATATATAATTCTTTTTTAAGGTTCAATTTTTACACATACCAGAGTCATTCTAAAAGAAAAGAACGTTTTGATCTGAAGATCCATGTAGTTCGCCCACCAGCCTCCACCGCTGCGTCATGGACCTTCCCATTATTTCGCACCAGTCCCACGCTAACAGCGAGCTACAATGATCGTTTACTGATTATAGTGTGACTGAAATGTGTGACAAAATTAAAGATCCCGCCAAGTGTGAGGTTTGTAGTGTAATATGCTTTTTGAATGCGAAAAAAGTCTGTCCTATTGAAATTTACAGACAGATAACCAAGGTTTATGGTAATGTGATGAATGCAGCTTCACTTTGAAAATGGTGCATCATGTTGGCGTCCTACATGTCCATGGCTAGAGGAGATCATAAATGCAGTTGCCTATTGTCAGACCCTTCACCGACTACGCCGCACCATTCAAAACAAATGGCGGAGATTGTTGTCCCGAGGCATTGAGCTGCTTCGGGATAATGCATGTCCGCATGATGCTGTGTTGATGAAGAACTTGCTTCAGCAGTTTAAATACCATCTGAGATGTTTATAATTTCATCTTCGGGGTATTTTTTAATTTGTGCATGTTCCTTAAATTTATGTTTACAAATATCCTTTTCCACACGTAGGATCTTTTATTTCTATTAACTTGACGGTTATTTCAATTCGAATGCTTGTACTGTTGTGATCGAATATACTCGAGACCTATCGCCGCTTCATGTTCTTTAACCCTTTTCTAATATATGGACAGTTTCTCGAATATAGAATTTTGGTTTAGTACAAGTACAGTACATTGTAACCTGTAAACAGTGCCTTCTTATTTGATTCATGTTACATTACATTTCTTACAGTAAATTGTGAATACTATATATAAAACAATGATTAATGGAAATATTGTTCTAAATTATATAATAGTGAAAAATGAAAATCAATAATAATTCCTACAAAGGGTCTATTAATTAATTTTCTTAACTTGTATGTTAAATTACTCCATTTTTTATGTTTAAATCTAATCACGGATTTAATTTTCCACACCTCATGTCTACGAATAACGTCATTAAACCTGGATATTTACTGTGAGACAAATCAACCTAATTAAAAAGGATTCATGTGATTGAAGATAATATTAATACAGCACCCCAACAAATATGACTTTCTTTTTACTCCACACTTGAGATGGCCCTTAAACTCATGCTAAAACGTATTAAATTAGCTCTGAAGGACTTTTCCATGTTATTTTAGCTTTAACAATGAAATAATCAAGAACAATGTAAAATGTATGCAATTGTTAAATACTATGATGCTCTTCAAACTATTTCGTTTAGATAAAGAGCCTCAGACTACGACATCAAATATCAATTCGTAGTCTGAGGCCGTAACAGAAGCTTGCATCATCATTTCGTTCTACAAAAGAACAAACAATTCCATCACGTTATTCTTTGTTTAAGGTGTATTTTAAGGCACATGAAACTGTATTTTCTTCGTAAAATGTGGTGGAACATGCCTCGGTTCTTAAAAAGTACTGCTTGTTTATGCACGGAAATGACTTCTGAGTACCGTGTTCTCACAAACGTACTGCAATGATCTTAAAAAAACCCTGTGTCAAACGGGTGCTAAGCAGTGAGCAACTAAACATAATGTTATGTGTTTGGTTTGTTTGCTTAGTTGCTTAAAAGCACACATTTTACCTTTAACAGAAATTGTACATTACACAAACAAATGGGATCAAAGGGGACTCTACACCCATTTCCTCGTGTGTGTCACCTAGTCACAAGTTGTGTGTAGTGAGTACTGTTTTCTTACGTTCTCACAATACAGGGTGTTTATAAATGAATGGTGCAGTTTTAAAAATTAATAATAAATCTATTTATTATCTTATATGGGCAAGCCTTAGGCCCTGTACACACTAGGCGTTTTTCAACGCGCTTTTAAACACGCGTTTTAAAGAACCAAGAGTTCTATGTAGCCGTACACACTCAAACGCCAAGCGCGCGTTAAACGCGCGTTTTGCGGGCACTTTACGGGCGCTTTGAGATATATGTGCTGCCTTATAGTGACGATGGAGGAGCACACACAATCAATTACTTTCTCGTCCATTTCCAAACTGAGCCAGTGCTAAACGCCGAGCTAACGCGCGTTAGCTCGGCGTTAAACGCGCATTGAAAAACGCCTAGTGTGTACAGGGCCTTACAGCATAAGCAGCGGCAACTGTCCAAGTTTTTTACGCATTAAACACAATCCTTCAATATGTGGTGCACATATTGAAGGATTGTGTTTAATGCATAAAAAACTTAGACAGTTGCCGCTGCTTATGGTCATACGACACACATCTACAGGGTAATCAAATTCTTCCCATGTGTGGTGTAGCATGTCATCCGTGATGGTCTGTAGTGCGTGCTCTATTCGATCACAGTTCCTCAAGGGACACGGGCATTGATGGTACATAAACTTGATCTTTAACAAACTTCCATGGAAAGAAATTGCTGGGTGTTAAATCTGGCAAACGGGATGGCCAGGGGAGCAGGTTGTTGTCTGCCGTTGCACCATGTCCAATCCAGCATTGGTGAAGAACATAATTAAGCATGACAAGCAGAGCGGGTAGCGCATAAAAAACTTGGACAGTTGCCGCTGCTTATGCTGTAAGGTTTGCCCATATAAGGTAATAAATAGATTTATTGTTAATTTTTAAAACCGCACCATTCATTTATAAACACCCTGTATATAAATGGCTCTCAAGTGTTCTAGATGAACTTTCTATAAATTCTTGAGTATACTCGTTCTATAAAGTGTGCAAAGATTTTAGTCTATCGCAACTAAATTGGCCTTACAAAGGCCAATTTAGTTGCGATAGACTAAAATCTTTGCACTAGATTAAATTGAACAGTGGGAAATTTACTTGTCAGTTGCATTGTTAGAATTGTGTAGAATGCTATTTTTTGTCTCAAGAATGCAGCAAGATTAAGAGTTTGTATTAATTACACTTGATTGTGTTGAATTTTTACAAATGAAATTCTGTATGATGATACACATCCATCACTGTTGCAAGTGTACTAGGAAGGACTACAAATGTTTTTAAATGGCAGTAGTTCTGTGACAGGTTCTCCTCTGCCTGTATTACCGAGTAGTGACACCAGAGGCCATTGCAACAGTCAAAGGAAAATTGGTGTGTAAGTGCCACAAATAGAACAAAATTGCTGCTGAGACAGCCATTAGTTGTGGATTGGCAGCACGCCACACTCAATGACATTCTATAGTTTGTAAGGTTTCTTTGAGGTGGGTGACGCGCCGACCGACTGCAGAATTGAAAGGACGACGCATTGCCCACAGAGACCTTCTGCCAATTATCAAAGCCATCTTTGGACACCCAAGGATGATGGAAGTGTTGAGACCGACAACACAGCAAAGCAGACAGTGTAAAGTTTTTCTCTAGAGGTGCCAGAATGCTTGTATTGTGTGTCATGGAGGCTAAGTACAAAAAATTGTTTACGTTTTTGTATTCAGTAAATTGGAAGATAAATATTTAAGGCTTCCATTTGAGTTGCCCTCGAATGACGTATTGTTTGTAGCCATCTTTGGGATTGCAAACAAATTCGATTTGTGTATGAGTTATAGAAGCAATAAATAGTTATAACAATTTTTTTTCTATTGTTTAAGAACAATGAAAAAAAATTCAGCAACAAGTTGCTTAACTTTCCTGGCACCATCTATTATTACATTTTTAAAACAATCTGTCCACTGCATATGTGCCAACTTACCATAGCCATTTCTGGCATATTTGCTATTTATTTCCTTTTTTACATGGAAATGAGCAATAGTATTATTGTTTGCAGTCTGCACTTTGAACCTAACAGGTGTACCCATTGTGTGTAGAAAACATTTGTGCAAGACATTAGTTCCTAAAAAGTTTGGACTGTCCCTGTATATGCCGAGGAAAATCATAGTGCCACGAAGACCACTAAAGTGAATGTCTTTGGATAAAAATAGATGATACCTATGATAAGCGGAGTATGCAACAGCAAGATGAAGCTCAAATGCCCGACCCACATCAGATAATCGGGCTCGTCGGTGTTTCTGTACGACAAACGTACACCAAACTCGTTCTTCATTTTAAAGGTCGATAAATTACGTTTATTGATGGCTTACTGCATTTGAAATATGGGGTGTCCACATTTACTTCCATATTCTCCTTCAAATTTTTACTCCCCCGGACATCCAATCAAACTTGATTTAAGAATGGTGTGTGTAAATTTTAATGAAATATATGGACCTCCGCTTGTCTGAATTTTGTGCGACTTGTCTTAACCCTTTGTTTCCTTTCCAGTTTGGATGCCATTTATGAACAGTTGTATATTATCCAGCTCCTTGATTTACGAATGTGATTGGTTGTTGTAAATTGAGGAGCGCCTGTATTTATTTCTTAATTTGGCAAATATATACACATTTTTCATGACTAATTTGCGGGACTGATAAATAATAAATGAAGTATTCAACTATTCTTTAATAGTAAATACCAGATAATTTGTGTGTGATAAATGAGTGTATCTGAATTACGTATTTCCTGCAGGTGTGCAGATTTTTCCTTTGAGTGTCATGTTCAATTCACTTCAAAGTTGGTGGCTCAGTTCAGGGTCTAGTAGTAATATGTTGTACAAAAGATGTGAATTGTACTAACAAGTTAAGCACCGATTATTCTGTCTCCCCTGGTCACAGCCATCAATTCCAATTGGTTTCCCATTTGTATTCTCACCAGCTATTACGAAAATACTTAATTTCCTATCGATTGCTGACTAAACTCGATTATATTGAAGAATTTTAAATAAATCTTGGGGTAAAAAAAATTGATCATCTTGAACAAATGCAAATGAGTTTTAGATGTTACTGTGAATTTTTCACACAAAGTACAGTCGACCCCCCTATAACGTAGCAAAAAATTGCGACAGTATTCGTATAAGGACGCTAAAAGGGACTCGTAAAACGTCATCGCCGACTCCTGTCGCGACAGGATTGGTCGAATCTGGACTAATAGCGGACGAGCAGCTGAAGTACATTCCACTGTCCAGCGCCACGCTACGGAGAGTTTAGGCAGGTAAATTGAGTTTACTATCGTCTGTACAGCATTATATATAAATTAGGTACTGTATATATAATTATATATTAACTTAATTTATTGTAACTTTATTATAATTATATATATACTTTCCGTCGTCTAGTGCCATGCTTCGGAGAGTTTAGGCGGGTAAGCTGAGTTTACTATCGTCTGTACAGTATGTAAATTAGGTACCGTAAGTCTAATACAGTACTGCTTCTTGATAACAAGCACTGAGTTCAGCGTTAATACGATTTTTCTTATATTGCAAGTACTTTTGACGAGTATTATATCGAATAACAAATTTAGAACGTGCAGTGTGTTCCACTTGGAACACTCTGCATGTTCTAATTTTCAAATTTGTTCTTTTTCGCCTGAGGACAACGATATAATACTCGTCGAAAGTACTTGTAATATAAGAAAATTCGTATTAACGCTGAACTCAGTACTTGTTATCAAGAAACTATACAATTTTGGCGTGAGTGTTATTTATCTATTTCTAATACAGTACTGTAATTTTATACAGTTGTTGTGAAAGAAACATTTCTTATTCAACGGCCATAAAAATTATTTCTATTAATGATGTCTCCAAAGTTCAATGAAGTTTTCGCAGAAAAATAACATCAGAAATCGCGGCCGCCGTTTGGTGCGCTGCTCTGCGACGTCGAATGGTGCACACGCAGTAATCCTACAATTTTTATTTGTAGCATAGTTTATATGGATTATTCCCAAAAAATTATATGTGTTTTGAAAATGTTGAGTCGAATTAGTCTAGAATCGATTAATTTTATGGAAGAAAAGCTTTCAAACAGCCGTAGTCCGTAAACTTCACACGTGTCGGGCTGCGATTGGCTCATGTATTTAAGGATTCCTACAACATGAAATTTGAATAACGTGGAACATATCTAAGCGTTATAGGGGGTCTACTGTACAGATGCTAAGACCAATTACTAGTATTTTTGTGAAGATTGGCTATGCTCTCACCCAAGAAATTTGTATCAATATGCAACAGATCCCTGTGTTTATGGGATGCGTTTATGCAGCTGGGTTATAGTTTGAAAATGGCACAACAGAAATTCATAGTTACTTTCAATATCAAGTGATATCTGTTGACGGTCATTGCATTATTTTATAAACTTGATTGTTAAAACTGCAGATTGACTAGCTTCTGTACTGAATTATTAGTTTATACACAAGATTTTCAGTTATTTTCGAACAAGTTTACTACTAGTCACATCAGTGTAACAGACACTTAAAGTCTTCTATTTGTTCCATGTCCTTTACTTCCATAAATTGTCCAACAACCACGCAGTTTCGACACCCATCTCCAAACACTGTATAATTTTGGCACTTTGAGGTTAAATGATTTATGTTTCGGTCAAATGGAGTGGCATCTCAACCCTTTGTGGATGTGGCTAATTCCTATCTACAGATGGAGTTTGGTTAATTTGAGGGCACGAGCTTTTGCGGTGTTTCTGCATTGCAGGTGCTCTTAAAACAATGGTTTTGGAACATAGATATTTACTTTCGAGTATTCCTATAGGTGCAAGTTCCTGACAAATGGCCCACAGACACAAACCCTCGAGGAGAGATTTCTGTGAATTTCCATACTCAGTATTCTGGATTGTGTGTGTGTGTGTGTTTTATTTAGCAAATTTTGCAGAGAATGAAGAAAGTATACCTGACACTTGTCTAAATTTAGCAAATTTGCTTCTTCCACCTGTCAAATGCCTTTTCCATGTAAGTTTTGCCATCATTCTTTTTGGATCTTTGCAGATGATGCAAGTAATGGATGACTGCGACACTCAACACTTGCCATTTGAGTTGAAGGATTTGGTGTGATGAAGAAATTCTTCATTCCTACTGACTTTGGCTTGTGATCCAACAAATTTAAAACATTGGAGATGCAGCTTCAAAAAACACGAACGTCTCTTCTCGATTTGGCCATGTGAAGAAGTCCCAAAGTGAAAACATCCGAATGCTCTTTGTCAATTTTGTAAATATGAATTATTGTAAAATGTGCAGTAGCAGCCAGAAGCATGCGCTACATTTCCAGTAAAAAGGCTTCAAACTTATTCAGAACTACCTATGTGTTTTGAGTAGACTTCAATATAAAGCTCTACTGTTTGATCAAACAAGGCAATATTCCATAGACAGAAAATGAATAAACAAACATTTGCTCGAGTCACTAATTTTCCATATTGATTATTTATTTTTATTTGATCGATAAACATACAGTTTCAAAAGTGGAAATTTTCATGCCTTTCGAAACAAAATGACAAAAGGTGGGAATGTTTGTAAACAAAATGCAAAATAAATAATTTCTTTTCTCAAACTATTTACATGAAAATAACGAAGCTAAGTCGTGCGACGAAATCTGACCGACAGAACGTTCGTAATAGGAACTTTTCATGGACGATTACGCTAAGAAGGCAATAAATAAACACATCAACTGAAAACAAATTGGTTTGCACTGGGGAAAAAACAACGTTAAGTACACCTATAAAACGTTTTGAAATATTGCACCGATGAAAGTGTATCACACGCAAACTGCTCGCGAAGCCTTCTGACTACACCTAAAAATCGGCTGGGGCCAATTTTGAAACGAAAAACTAATGTTCTAATCCGAACCTATCACTGTACAATAAATAAATAAAGACCTGAGTTTGTAGCGATCGTGCCCCACGGGGCGTGCGAAATTAAGCCGAGTACCGACAGCCAGACAGCACATCTCCCATTCCTGTAGTAGAAATCGAAAGAGAGAACGTTAAACACCTTTTACAAGTTGCTTGCATGCCGTTTGCAAACGAAGACGATGCGACAGACGACGACATTAATAAAGTAAATCACAGTCTCGTTTATACATATCTATATATATGTATATAATTTTTTTGTTTTCATTTGTGTGGAAATCTCAAATAATAAAATTTGTGCTTAAAAAATATAATACATACCCAAAATATATATGTATGTATATATTTTTATGTACATATTTATGTAAAAAAAGGGTCACGTACCATACAAAGTGTTCATGGGCAAAGTATGACTAGTCGAAAATCTCTATCCAACCCAAAGGAAACGATAAAAAAGTGTGGAAATTCTGCTACCTACCATTTATCAAAGACTTTAGTAAGACAATGATTTGAAAAACAAACAATACTATCATTACAAATTGAAGGATGAGAAATAAGCCACAGTTCCGCTCCAGAGAATTCTCGCAATTTTTCAAAGGCCACGAGGTACCTCGGGATTTCCAAAATTGTTTCCTAATGCCGTCTTCTGCTCCTCCGAACATCTTTTTCTTCAATTTTGAATTAATTTCGCTCAAGTCCGGAGACGAGTTGTATGTTTTGTATTTGTAAGAGAGGTTTATGCGATTGGCGAAACGCTTTGAGTCAGGAATCTTCTTTTGCCACGATGAGGTTCTGTTCTGTTCCATGCATTTCAGGCTGCACAAGCTGGAATTGCTATGCCACTTGTGTTGCCGCGAGAGGTTGCCTTTTTGGTACCTGTCAACCGACCGAAGGGAGTAGTGTTCTGGGAAAGACTGCCAGAATTCGAACGGCTGCGAAATTGGAACGTCATTCCCAAAGCGTGACCGGTTCCGTTCGCAGCATTTCGACTCGAGCGTTCCATCACGAAATATGCCGAAGCGGCACGCCGACGTACCGTGCGGAAAACAGTTTCTTTCGTTTTTGCAAAAACTTTGGAAGTACGCAGCATGCAAGAACTTGGAATGGTTTTTACGAGACGTGGAAGTAGGGAGGAAGTTTATTTTGGGACTAATCCTCTGGGTTGAGGATAGCGACATGTGGTGTCTGGCTGTTGGGATTGGGGGTGTTGTTTTCCTGTACTTGGTCGATTACTGGAAAGAAAAAGTAAAATAAATTATAAATTTGAAATTAAATTATTTTAAATGCATTTAACATATTGTACATATTATTTTGTCTCCATTTTTGATTGAGTTGTTTCTATACTTCTGTGTAGCGTTTGACAGTTTCACCAATACAAATTAATGAACAAAGAAATTTAAAAATTCCTGCTCTTCAAAGACTAAAAGGCCCACACTTATTCCAGTTTCAATTGGTCTATGGTGATGGTGTGTGGGTATTTACCTTGTTAACCCTGCTTGTGAAAAACCAAACTTACCCGGACTCGAACCTTTAGCCAGAATGGAAGTTGAAGCTTTAACTCGGCCGCCCGACCACAGAATGAAAAAATTAAAATGACTAGTGTTTGATGAGAAAACAACACAACACAACAACATTAAATCCAATTGCAATGTCAGTTTGCATATTTTCTAAATTTCTCACTCTTACCACTGCCTCCTGGTCACTAAGAGGACCTTTTCTGTCTGCTCACATTATACATTTGGCTGGAAGACCTGGGAGAGCCCCAATTTATCGGAATTGGAAATTTTTCACGAACGGTCGGTCGTTCATGAAAAATTTCCAATTACTCATCCAAGTTCTCTAGAATGATAGGTTGCAACCTTCACTGTCTCGGCCGTCCAGCCATCTAAAATACTCCTTGACATTAAAGTATGTCAAAGGTTTTAACACAATTGAATTGAGTTGAAATTCCATAGCTTTGGCTGGCTTTCAAGGAATATAAGGTGTGTGGTGGCCTACATTATTCAATTATCTTATCATAAATAATTTTAAAATTCTGTTAACATTATAATTGGTTGGAGGAGAATTTTCTACTTTAATTAAATATATTATCTTTATTTACATTTAAAATATAGACTAGTATGGAGTTGATTATTATGGTACAATTGTCACTAGCTATGGTTTATGAGGAAATTTGCAGTAAGAGCAGTCATAAATCTACAGCAATGTTTCCAAAAGTGGTTTCTACAGACCCCTGGGGGTTCCTGGAACCACTAATGGGTCCTGAGCAAATTAAAATTAATTTGGGGGTCTGTGGTCAACATCAGGGAGTCAGCAAAAGGTTGAATAAAAAGTATTGTGATTTTTAACTTTCATAATAATGAAAATGGGTCACAATGACTACCAAATTTATTTATTTTTATGTCATGAGTAAAATATAAGCATAGATTAGTACATAAAATGCAAGTAATGAAAAGCATTGCGTGGTGGGAATACTAGCTATAGCTTGCCCATTTTGAAATGAGGTCTGTGCTTCATTTATTGCATACATTTTGAAATTTTAGAATTTATTTTGTTTGTTTATAGAATTTTATTTAATTTTTCTTTCCAAAACATTGATAATTATTGGTTGTTTTTCATAATTATAAAAACCATTTAATGACTAAAAATACATAATTTATTTATTCTGATGAAAATTCAGTAGATAAGATAAAAAATTAATAACCCAATTAGAAAAAAATTATACATTTTGTTTGTTTTCACTGTATTATACCCGTTTTAAAAACGGCAAGCTTTAGCTAGTAATTTCAATAAATATTACTTAAAAATAAAATGTAAATAAAACTTTTAAGACATCATAATATTAACAACAAAATTACAAATTCAACTATATAGTTGTGTAGAGTTATTTCACTTGGGACTTCATGGACATAAAAGTTTTGGAACCATTTATCTACAGGGTGTCTGAAAAGTTACTGTGCAATGATAAAACTAACGAAAGTTTCATTAAAAGAAGTTTTAGGTGTGATATTGCAAATGCCAAAAATGACCCAAGAGGCCCCAAAATCTGAAGAGTGAGGTCCACAGATTTAGCATTCCAGATTCCATGGGAGATTACGTGATTGGCAAAGAAGTGTTCCAAAACCATAACGTCTGTGAGCAAGTGGTAATGTCATCTGCTACAGAATGGAAACTTAGAAAAAAATGCTAAATGGTACAGGGTGTCTGAAAATTTACTGTGCAGTGAGAAATTTTCAGACACCCTGTACCACCTAGCATTTTTTCTTAGGAAGAACACTAAAAGAAAGCTTATGATACTTGCAATGGATTGTTCGATCTGTAGTTTGGTGTATATTAGAACTATAATAAAACCCTAAACAGAAATTGCCACTCTCTTTTACATTTTTTTATGTATGTTAGCACTAAAACAGAAGATTTTAATTGTTAGTGTAAATACGTATCTGCCAAAAATCATGGAAACTTTTGAAAACCCAAATAATTTTTTAGTGTTAAAATTAAACAATACCAAACATTTCAATGTTTGATAAATACAGGTCAAGTATATCCAAAAGTATTTCAGGGCTGACACAGTGGAATTTTTCATTTGAGGCATGTTAAGTACTGGGATGTTCTGGATTTCTTCCCCATGCCCTTTTTTCCCTGATGCCTATTGACAAACTAAGTGAGCAGTACTGGTCAATACATCTCTAAAATTCCTTGAATGTGTTTTGATCCCAATTTTTAACACACATTTACCAGGATACATTTGAAATTTAAACAAATACACATTCTTTGTAATGTTTCATAAGACAAAGATATTTCTATTGGGGGTTCAGCAGTGCAAATGTGTAAATATTCTGAAATCCAAAATGCTTCTGGGCCCTGAGCATTTTGGATAAAGGAATCTCGATCTCTTGCTATAAATGTTTTGTATCAAAAATGGAGGCAAGAGACTAAAATTAGAAAAGGTTGCTTGTAACTTTTACTCACTTTTTGAGATGCATACCATCTCGTCGTCCTATTCTAATTTTGTTGTCCAGAGAAAATACGCTTAGACTATATTAAAGTAAGAGGAATATTACAAAAAGAAATGTTCTATTTGGCAATTAATATAACTTGTCATAATTACCTAGCATCGATATTGACATCATCCTCTTCTCTGAGAGCGTCGACTAAAGCCGCCTGTAAGTGAGGTGCAACTACTGGTGCATCGTAGTCGCGTGTGGTACGATTCGGCATATCTAATTCCACTTGCAAGATGTTTTCTCCCTGAATATTGTTCAACCTTGTCGATGTAACAACAAGCATTAAAACAAAAAAATCTTAAAACTTAGTTTTACCTTATAACGTGGGTTTCCACCCATAGAAGAAGCCATTCTTGCGTACTGGGAGACGGGACGACGGCTTCCCGTCGTAGATACGGGCCTCTTTTCCGAGGTCTGAGTACTGAAAATTAATTTTATAAAAATTTTATATATCATTTAAAAATTGGCAAAAAACTAAATATTTCAACACCAAAATCTAACTTACTTAGGGACTTGTGATATTGACATCAACTTCCATTGGTCGTCGTCTTCATCGAACACCACGCGGCTCAAAACTTTATTTTTCTCTTCTAACGGAATGAAGTTCTCTATTATAAGGTATCTATTGAAGTAGTAAAAAATGTCACTTGATTTGTTCAAAGCAAATCTTGGTTATATAAAAACATCAATAAAAGTCTTACTTCAATTTCAATTCTTTAGTCAATTCATTCTGAGTCATTTCTAATTCTTGACGTTCTCGCGAATGTTCTTCCTGAAGATCTTGTATTTCGGCTTTAACTGCTTGCAGTTTCGCAAACAACTGAAATTAACATCTTTTAAAATCGCCTTGCAAAATAATAATCGACAAACATTTAATTGCTTTTCTCTTCACTACTAGGTGCATTAATAGACACAAGGCATTTTACATCATCTTTATTGTGAATCTTCTATAGGCCGATACATGTTTCAGGCAAAGGCCCCTCATCCGTCGGCATGACATCCAGAATTTTCTTTAGGTTGTGTTGATACACATACACACATATATATATATTTATCAAAATGCCTTGTGTCTATTAATGCATCCAGTAGTGAAGAGAAAAACAAATAAAGGAAGACACAGTCTCAGAAATACATAAACATTTAATTTTATAACAAACAGAATACCTTTCTCAACTTCTTTGTTTTAATTTCAATTTCTTGCTGTAGTGAACTAAAAGTTTCTTTAATCTCTAAATTCCCCTCTTCTTTATCCTCTAATTTTTGAAGCATTTCTCGTTCACGGCGCTAAAAACAAATTTATTACTCTCTCAAAATGACAAAATCGTGCAACTGATTAGATTAGGAAAGTATTTACTTTCTGTTCTGCTATCTCCTGTCTTCTCTGTTCAAGTGCTCTTTGTTGTTCATTAGTGTGATCGATGATGTTTTTACCTCCGGATAACAATTTACTTTCCATTGCCTATGTAAAAAATTTTAAATTAATTTTCTATTTAAATTTTAAATTGTTGCTAATTGTCATTAAAATTTAATTACTATTAAAATAGTATTTATTAATTTTTACTTTTCTGGCTCTGTTATATACTGTGTAACAAGGAGAGTAAGAAAGGAAAGATCAGTCAAAAAATGACCCCCAAGATTTTTGGACTTAGGACCTTGAAATGCAAAAAAATTCGGGGTTTTCTTTATGTGCGTACGTAAATGTGCATGCATGAAAGGCATGATTTTGTTCACCCACTTTGAAGCTTAATACCACCTGTTTTTTGTCTAAAATTCCTGAAATTTTGCAGTGAGGTTTGCATAATGTGAGATTGATGTTATTAAATTTTAGTGGTTAAAAAACCCCTTAAGTCCTTATCCCGAGTTAACTCAGGCAGGTTACATAGCATTACAGAAAACTCGGGTGTTTCGACCCTTTTGAAAAAATTTTTTTTTGGATGTTTTTTAAGTCTCCAAACTTTTTCAAAAATTTTTTTCCTGCTTGCAATTTTAATGTACCTTTAATGATGCACAATTAACACTTAATTGTTTTTTATGGGATATTTTTATCAAATTTCATTCATCACTAAAGTTCTAATGCACAGACTTTACTTTGACATTAGCTTTAAAGTTATTTAAAGCTAATGTCAAAAACAACCTCCAATAGTTTTTTAATTAATAGATTTTATTATATATATGTTTAATTAAGTCGGGGGGGTCAGAAATCGCAATAAAAAACGTAATTTTTTTAATATCAACACACTTACTAAAACACCTTTTCTTGCAGCCGACGCTTTATTATAACAACTTTCAAACGTTTTCGGTCTTGTTAAAAGACCTTTCTCAAGAAAATAAAATTAACTAAGTAACAAAATAAACACCACAATCGTAAATCGAACGCTTAGTACGAATAACTGTTTTTTCAAATCTTTCGAACTCGCTTATAATCCGTTGTACATGACGTCAGTGTAACCGGAAATATAAAAGGTTATGTAACTATCTAAATATAAATACTTAAAATACATATTAACATGTTTATTTTGTTACTTAGTTAATTTTATTTTCTTGAGAAAGGTCTTTTAACAAGACCGAAAACGTTTGAAAGTTGTTATAATAAAGCGTCGGCTGCAAGAAAAGGTGTTTTAGTAAGTGTGTTGATATTACAATATGCAGTCTAGAAAGAATTGTAATTTTTTTAAAATATTTAAAAATATATGGCCAGCTATTATTCACCCTACTTTAAACCCTTCTCCTCCTGAGACGTCTGAGAATGTCCCGGGAAATCCAACACCAGCTGTTCTCAAGGTCATCAAGCTGTAAACACTGACTCATCAGTGTCAAATTTTGCAGAAAGGCGAGACAATGGAAAATAAAGTTTGAAGCTTTCTCTTCAAAATTAACACATTTGTTTTTTTTTTCAGTTTTAAGTATTTTTTATGTTTAATTACATTAATATTAAAAACTGCTGGGTAGAAAAGGAGTTAATGTTGTCGCTAGATAAGTTAAGCAACTTGTTACTAGATTTTTACCTTTATTTTAGTAGCAAGCATGTCCCTCGCATCTTGTTCCTTTCGAATTTGCTCTTGACGATTCTGCATTTCATTTAAGAGCTTTTCTTTTTCCTGAATTATTTAAAAGTTTCATTAGAATGATTATAAAATTAAATAATTTAAAACAAAATCTTCATATTTATTTTATGAGATATGCCTGCTGTAGCTTACTTCTGCAATTAAGTTCTGGTCACTTAAAACATTTTTCCGTTCTTCTTGAAGCTTTGCTTCCTGTTCTTTAAGAAATTCTTCCTCGCTATAAATATCTGAATCTATTTCGACATCTTCATATTCTCCATCAGTTGTACCATCTCCTTTGAAATGTCGTTTTTTCTTTCGTTTCCCAATTCTCGAGGCCAATTGGGTTTTTAATCTAAGCAATCATACAAATTAGAATACATTAGACATTAAATGCAATCATACAAATTAGAATACATTAGAACAATAAATCCAATTAATTTCTGCTAATCTTACCTGGAAATTTCCTGCTGAAATTCTCTTAATAGAGCATCCTTTGGATCTTCATTAACACGAGGTTTATTCTTTATGTTTTTAGCTCGGTTTGCATACCTAATTAATTCATATTCATTAGATGTAATGCTTAATTATAATTATTTCAAATGTAATAGATATTTTTTTTATTAACAAACCTGAGAGTTATTAATGTTTCATCATAATTATAGCTTGCGGGTCCTATATTAGCTACCATGATAGTTTTGGCATTTCCTCCAAGAGAATCTTAACAAAATAAATTATAATTTTGTGTTACAGAAAGAAAAATAATTCCATCACAGTTACTTTTCTTTCATTTTTTAAAGCATAATCTACCTTGAAGAAGCCTTGTTAATTTTGAATCTCGATACGGAATGTGCGAACTTTTACCGTCCACAAGCGCAGATATCACATTTCCAAGAGCAGAGAGAGATAAGTTTATTTTGATAGCTTCCTTCTGTCTTTCTCCCTAAATAAATGACATACAATTTAAAAAAAATAAAGTATAATGAAGAGAAAAACTCTTTGAAAAGTTGAAGCTACCTGTTTATTGATTTTAAATTATTTTTTTTTTTAGTAGTTAGAAAACTTTAACAACTTACAACAGCCCCAGTCTTAGCTTGTCTTTCACTTCCTGCCAAATCTACAAGATTCAATTTTCCCACTCTTATATGATGTTGTCCATCTATACCAAGCTATAGAAAAAGAAATAAATAAATAATCCTCCAAAAACTTTACTACATATGTTAAACGCTTCATGTACACCACTCAGACTTGTACATACCTCGCTGTGTTCGATTGTAATGATGAATATTGCATGTGACCTCGAACTATGCAAATTCATATTTGTTGCTCTGAAAAATGATTAAAAAATATTATTTAATTGTCAAATTAAAACACTTACGAACCCAAAAATTGTAAAATGTAATTAAAAAAAAAAAAAAAAAAAAGGATAACTGCATTGCCAGCTCTTAGCACTGAAAAAATATTAAACTTCACACACACTCTGAAGATTTTTGCCTTTGATCACCCTACATAATTCTGGGTTATGTGACAAATCTAAACTTAATAAAAACAAATTGTAACAGAGCATTATGCAAAGTAAGATTGAAATAAATTCGTCTAGTACCATTTCTGGCAAGAAACTCTGAGCATTATGGACACAGGTACAGGTGTGTTGCATTAGAGAAAGTTGGCATTGAAGTCTCCTTCTATTAGGATAGGTTTATCTTTGTACCAGTTCAGGTGGTGATGAATGTCTTCAATGGCTGTCTCAATGTTAGTGGTGTCTGGAATATAGACGGAAAATATGTAAAGGTGAGTGTTATTGTCTGTAACACAGATGATGGTAATATATTCTGTGGTGTGTTGGGAGACAAGGCAGGTGGTAATGTTTTTGTTCCTGATGATAATACCAGCCTTGATGCAATAGCCAGGGTCCTGAGCTGGATAGAGTATCATGTTAATAGTGTAGGGTTCTTGGATCATGTTATCTGTATGGTGTACATTGGAAGTGTGAATGAGGAGGGAGCAGGTAGCTTTGCATTTCTGTAAATGCCTGTGTTTGTTTGTGTATGGGGTATTATTCTTAGCTGACCTTACTTTCTCATGTGTTTGGTTATGGGGCACAATTGAGAGAATGCGTTATGTACGGTTTTATGTTTGCTCCCTTCTGGTTGAGTGTTATTGGTGTAAGGAACCAAGTCCGAGCATTATTTTTAGTTATTTTTATTTTGCTTTTTATTCTATTTTTGTTTGGGGCTTATGTTTTGTTAGGATGTAGGTTTCCTCACCAATCACCTTAGAAACTTAAAAATAGAAGAAAGAGAACCAACTCACCAAGAAAAAGCGCCACAGGAATAAACTCATGCACACTTGCGCTCCCAAGCGGAAAAAAGTAAGTCCTCACCAAAAAAGAGGGGGGAGACCCCACAGGCACAACTTAGGAACTTGCTAAACCGTAAAGAATAAAACATCTTGGAATAATGTAAAAGGTTAGCGAGTATTGTTGGGAAATAGGCTGCCAGGCAGAAAGGAAAAATTGACTTAGCGATAAGTATGTAAATGAGGGGAGTGATCTCACTCAGAATTGTGATGTCACCTCACAGTATAAAGTCCGAACCTCAAGTGAAGATGACCGAGGCGAGCTTCTGTTAGCAACAAGCGTGGTGAGCTTCACAGTAGTAAACAACAAGAGGTGTCCAATAGCGATAAAGTGGTTCCAAGGCAATTTTGAAGTTATTCGATTTGTGGATCGAAGATTAGAGAAACGCTACAGTGTTGTTTTTCTGTACATTTATTAGCTAATGGTCATAACCACAGCATTTGTAGCAGCATGTGAGAGGAATGTAGTCACCTACAGCTGTCATTACCCATTGCACATTAATATACTGCTGTTAAATTAATGTGTTCCTGAGGAGTTACCTGGAGGGCAACGTGTAATCTATAAGTGTTGCGGTTTATTTTGGTTAAAACACAACAAGAGTCTTGAAATTCCTAGAGTGTGTGTGTGGTATTTATTGCAGTGTTCTTGATGTGGAGTTCCTCTATGAACGCACTGGTGACAGCGTCACCTGGGACATTTAACAGAATAACCTTAGGTTGTTTGGCTGCCGAGTATCTGATTTCTAACCTATCCATTAATATTAATTCATATGCCTCTATGTCCTTATTTTCTACAATTTGTTAAATGTTTGTCTATAAGGACTAAGCTTATTAATAAGACGTATAATGACTGTCAGCCTTTGTATTTAACTGAATGCAAACTCCATTATCCCTAATTTTCCTGAATGCTTTAACTGAGATTCCTGACTGACTAGGTTTTATGTTCATAGTGAGAGTTTGTCTTATTTCATCCTGAGTGATATTAATGTTTTCTTTTGGGAAAACAAGAACTGTGTGTGCGCCAATACTGGATTGTGTATGTTTTTGGACTGTGTTATGGATAATTTTGGTATTTGTTGTGTTAGCCCCAGCAGCAACACCAGCATAAGAGAATGCCAGTAAGCTAGTCTGAATAGTGTTTTTTGCAGTGTCCAATATTTTGTTGACTTTGCTATCAATGAGAGAGCCAACCTTTCTGGAAACCTCCTGTCGAATACAACAGACACTATCAGCTAGGAATTTCAAAACTGTTCTGTTAATTAAACTATTTAACATATCAACATTGTTGTTGGGATGATGAACTGATGCTCGGATAGTCTCGTCTGCCAGCAAAAAAATGATCATTTGCAGCTTCACGAATTTTCTTCTGTTCTCTTTCTGAACAGCACAGCTGTATTCTTCTGGACAGTTTCCCAAAATAATGTCCAAAGGCGCACTAAGCTTTTTACGAACCGACGAGACGTCCGAGCATAGGCTCCCTGCCCAAGTGTTTCCAGAATTAGATGAACACACCATCTAGAAAGATTCTTAAACTATGTTAAAACTAATAACTTATAACTTAAACCAAGGAAAAAAACAGGAAAACTGAAAACCAAGATACTGCAAAGCAGTATAACTGAAAAACTCAAAAACAGTGTCCTAGAAAGATGAAACCAACAGAATGGAACGAATTACAAAGAGAAAACTAACTACAAAAAACAGAAACCATGAGAATACCAAAATACTAACTAACATCAAAAAAGCTATAAAAATGGCCTAGTAAGGCATAACTATGAACTTACAACCGAAAAGGCTGAAGAATAACTCGGAAAAACCAAAAATACTGCAATGCAACAAAATCAGAAAAACCAAAATTATAGGGGAAGCTAAACACCTGAAGACATAACTAACTACAAAAAAGAGAACTATTAGACCTAAACTAAGACAAGACTAACTGAAAAACACTGAAAAACTGAAAATTTACAAAAGCCAGCCAAAAACAAAAAGGTGATCAAGTAGAAGTTGAAAAGGAGTAAACTTAACTTGACTAAATCAAAGAAAGTAACTGTTTCTGCCTGGCAAAGCCAAAACAGAATATGAGCTGGCTAAGCCTAACTAGTACGCCTAGCAAATGAGAAAAACATGAAAATGAAAAAATCTAGCCTATTGAGAATGAAAAACTGACTCAAAATCTAATTAGTAACACAAATACTAACTAAAATGACAAAAAGTAGCAGGAAAAAAACATTCAATAGTGCCCAAAAGACACAAAAGTATATCTCAGCAAAAAGCTCACCAACACAGGCAAGAAGCAGGCAGAGGATCCCTGCCTGATTCTTGAGGACATAATGGTCACAGAGTTTCTTGCCAGAAATGGTATTTATATACTTCTACATCCCTTCTACATCCCATTTATTCATGACTTAGTTCTTTGTAATTTTTTTCTCTTTCCACCGATAAATCATCATCTACAAGGTTGCCATTTTGAGTCTTAAAATGAGGTAAAAACAGCATTTCAGGAGGCATTGCAGGTGATTGCAAAAGATGGTTTGCTTGGATGCTTCCAGAAACTATATGATCACCAACAAAAGACTATCATCTAAAGGGATTATTTTGAAGGTGATCGCACATCAGTGTTTTAATCTATTTGAGTCAAGGAACTAAACACCAATTTCCTGAATTTTTGGATCCTATATTGTAGTTATGTATATAATTAAATTTTGCTTCCTCTGTCTAATATTAGCATTCATATTCCTAAAATACACAGGCAGGCAGCATTCAATAATAGGAAACTTTGAAAGGAAATAAAAAAATCATGTATTTTTTGCCAAAACTTGTAGACAACATTGCTTATTTGATATTCACATTGATAAATTAAGTTATTATAGAATATAATAGCAATGTTTATGTTGAAAGAAGATAATTTCCCAAATACAGAAAAATCTTTACACTCAAATATTACTGTCTGCAAGCTTCCACAATAGAATGCATGTCATTTCCATTGAATCTGTTAAACTTTCTTACTTTTGAATGTTGCAAGTAAGCATATTTCTGCAAATTGATGGTGTAAATAATCAAAATATAGTGATGACAGGCAGCCAACCACTCTGGAGTACTGTATTGAATCTGGATGGATTAACAATAAATTTATTTAAACATCAGACAATGTTCAACTTCATCTATGAATATTGTTTACTTATTGTGATACTAGACTAATTTATCAGAAGACTGCAATCTCAATTAAGTAAAAATGTAAACAATAACAGAACATGTGCAAAACAGAATGCTAGAAACAATAAAATCTGAATATATATTGTCATAGTCTTGTTCATAGTGGAATGAACTTAACAGAACTCCTTAATCTTCTATGCCAGAGCATTTAAAAATAAATTGTGATCTTTATGAAACAATTATAGAAAAGAAATAGAATGCAATTTAAAAATCATTGTTACAAATTCTAGTTAAATATCTTACCCCACGGCTCTGTTTTGATTGCCAATAGTCATCACATGTTCAATTTCTTTCACGCTTTTGCATACAAATGTCGATAAATCCTAAAAAATTGAATTATATTGAAATTACTGTCTAAACTGGTCTTTATAAATAAAAAAAATAATTTATTACATAAGGATAAATTTTATAAGATTTGTTGAATGTTGTCAAAACACGTTTTATCTTGAAAAAAAAAAAAATTGAAATTTTTAATCCAATTAAGTTTTTAAATAAAAATATTTTTTTTAAGCATTAAAACCAATTTTAGATGTAGTATGCACCACTTAACAAGTGGGAAACATTCCAAGAAAGACATCATTAAGTAATCTTAATTGAGTGTACTTAGATATACCTTATAAGGTATGGTTTACTTATATATGCTATATGTAATACAATTATAAATATATGTATCTAAACAGAAAAAAGATATGGGCAGCTAGGAACATTTCAGTTCCTTATAACTTCCATCATCTATGCACTTTACTGTTAAGTGGAATGTCATTAAGCAGTGCAGAGCCATATATGTTTTACTATTTGAGTGAAATCTTTTGTAAAATTTTAAAACAATATGTAAGCATTTATAGATAATTGCAGAGAATTTACAATGTAATACTCATAAATTAAATTGAAAATGTATCTCATAGATTTAATAATATAAATTGTAAAATTGTGTTTAGTATCAAGAAATATGGCTGAAAACATTATTTAATCAGAAATAATTTTGGTTTCTGATTAAATAATGTTACAGTTTGAGCTTTTATTTCTTATTTTGATTTATACACAAATATTTACATACATAATTCTTACCTTTACATAAATACCAGTATCTGGTCTTTCTTTTAATTCTAATCGTTTATTCTGATCTTTAGCTAATAAATCTCTAATTTCTTCCTGCAATAAAATTATTCAAATAAATATCAATATTTTATTGGGGTCTATACACTTCTTTTCTTTAAAACTATACAATTAAACACAGAAATTTAAGCTTCTGTGTTTTAAAATAATACCCTGATAAATATTTAAAATAATATTACAATGAATTATTTACAACCTTGAACCCAATTTCAAGAAAATATCATTAGTTACAATGTTGCATTCTTGTGACATAGTTAATTGATTTGTTGTTCTCATTTCACGAAATAATAGGAAACTGAATTTGCTAAGCAAAACATCATTTTTGTATGTGAATTAATATTATAGTTAATAAATCAAATCTCAGAGATAAACACAAATGATAATAACAACAACAGTAATGGATGATATTTACTCTAAAAGATTTAATATTGAACAAGGCAGTTCATAACCAATAAAATATACAGAAAATTATCAAAGATTCTACGAAAAAAAAAAAAAAATTAAAAAACACTGTTAATGTATTAAAAGAAATTAATACCTGATAAATTTCAAGAAATGATGCCCTCACTAAGTACTGTTGATTCTGTGACCGAGCTATGTGATTAAATATATGCTCGAAAGAATTTGGGATAACGCCTCTTCTCTCTGGGTCATTCCTTACACCTGTTTATTTAAAAATCAGAGTACAATTAAATATAAATTGATTAAAATGAAATAAATGCAGAAGAAACATAGTCAATGCTGTATTCAAGATATAATTTTATAACAACTTTTGAACGTGAATTCGCTTATATTCAAGAAAATCAATTAAGACTGGTTCAAATGTCCAATAATTTAGTCAAGTTGCAAGCAATTTAGTAACGTCATGTACAAATAGTGAAATTTAGTGAATTCATTTAATTTTATTTTTTCTGGTCAAGTAGTAGCCCCACCATCATTATTAACCAACTAAACACATCAGGACAGTGATGTTTTTAGTTTAGTTCAATATATCCTATAGCATTATTCAAGGGTATATTGAAAGAGATGCATATAGTGCAGCACATTCCCTTGATACCAAAGCAATCAGATTTATTATTTTGAAATAAAGGTAATATAACAACACATATTGCATAATTTCAATGACAGAGAGTAATCATATACAAACAGAAAAATAAAATTTAGACTTATGTTTCAGGAAAAGGCATGTTAAAACAAACTGAGGATAATTACATATGAATTCAAAGTAACTTAATTTCAATAACTTTTAGTGAAAGTAACAAATGTAAAGCTCATATCTATTCCTCCTTTTGGAATCAAAGAGAATAAATCATACTGTAATTTGCATAATCTATAATCAATCTGTCAATTCAAAATTATCAATTATCCATTTTCCTCTTTCATTTAACAATTTTAAAATCCAATAAAAAGAATGACATCAAAAGTTAGGTAGCTAGAGTAATTATAAGATAATTGTGTAACATTATTTAAAAAATGACAAGGATCATTTGCCTTGGTACCCCATAAATCTAACTTGAGCAATAACAATATCCTCAAAATTCTGGATATACCATTGGAATTATTCAAGTTGTATGAATATGTCTATGCCTGTCTGTCTTGAAGCTTGCCACATGATCAACTATATTAATCCAAACACTATGCACTAAACTATTTAGTAGTAAGCGGCAACTGACTGCTTGACTAAATTATGGGATGTGTCCAAACAAGCCTTTACTTCCAATGTTATGGCCTAGTTTAAAATTAAGTAAAGTACACTGCAAAATGTAATGCATTATGTTAAGTTTTATGAAAAGTTAAAGAAAAATTACTAATTTTAGTTTTTCATTCCAATGGTTTACTGAATGCAGTGTTACTAAAACTGCAGTGCTACTAAAACTGCATTCAAATTCTTCTTAAAATACTCCATTAAATTTTAATGGCTGGGCATTGAGCTGCAGACATACAAACTTAATATAACAATTTCAGAATCACTTCAGCAAAAAGTGAAATAAAACATTTTAATAAATGTATAAATTGAATGTAACGATGGGAGAAGAAATGTAGGAGTTTTAAGCTGGACTGTAGCATGGGAAATAATTCACTTACATTTAAGAAGAGAAGTTGAAAAATTATTATAAATCTAATGGATTGTTCTAAGAAACATTTAAATTCAAACAAAGTTGCTATAGAAAAACAAACACTGCAAACATTTTGTTGCATCCAAAAACATGCTGACAAGATTTGTCAGCAATTCTATTATGTACATAATATGCTGGAATACAGCTTGCAAGCCATTCAGAACACACATCAATATTTGTCATTCTGAGCATGATCAAGAATAGTGAGCACATGATCTAACACATGAATTCAATCTCATCATTGATTGATTCAAGAATACAACAAGTAAAAAATCCAATAGATTAGATTTTCTGCAATATAGTTGTTTGTGTGTAGTGGACTAAAAATTAGCAGGAAAAATGTGGGAATCCAGGGTTAAGAGAGGACATTCTTACCTGTCACAGGTAAGAATGTCACAATCTGCCCACTATGTCAGTGAATGGGCTTGTAAAATTATTTTTGTTAACAGGAAGTTCTTATAATCTTCCTTTAAATTTCTCCCGACAACAGCCTAAATAGTGCATTAGGCCCATGATTTGAAGTTCTTATACTTTTGTCTGAAGGGGAAGATTTACGGATTTTCCATAAGATGTCTGCATATATTTAAGATCAAGAACAAGACCTTTTAAACAAGATAAAGTCAAAATTTAATGAAACTACGATAATAATAAAATAACCATACAGGTAATTTCTAATACCCTACTTATTGCGAGAGAGAGAGTTTACAATTCTATAGTCATAATACCTCAATTGACAGATGTACAGATGATGATCTTTCAATGATGTTTTGGATGGAGTGAGGATGGTTACAAGACTCTGGAGACAGTTGGAATAAATCGGTCCAAAAAGAGAACAGGTAGAGAAACGGCTTGAAGGAAAATTACTTAAGGCTGGAGCAGAATGCTTCGAATGGCAGGAGATTGCCTTTTTGTACGCAAATCCCCTCCAATGGAAATTTGGAATTTGTATCATATGACAGGACACACAGACGAGTCAAATGGCCAGATGTTCGTTAAAATTTGCAATAATCTCTTGTGAAAGGAAGTTTGATTTCCCCTTTCATCACAAAAGTGACAAAAGCATTGCCTTTTTGATGAGAAAAATTACTTTTATTTAATTTCTTTGATTTATTAATGTAGTTTTATATTTGAAGGGAAAAGGTTTTTCATATCTAATTCATGAAGGGGGTTATTTAGATTGATTGATAAAATTGATTTATGTAATAAAATTTATACTCCGTCTCCAGATTTTTACAAATTATCTCCAGCAAATAGATGGAGAATTTACTAATGATTTACAATAATTACACATAAATACAAACAACACATACATTCAAGGTTCAGCCTTGAATTACAGCATAGAAATAAATCACCATGTGAAGAAGAACAAAAACAGAGAAAAGAGCTTCTCATGAAAAATGCTACGGTTTTTGTAAGGCATGTGAAAGAAGAGAGTGCCAGTGCCACCTCTCAGCAATTTAAAAGAAATATATATATATATATATTTGCTGGTTCAAACAGTAGTTGCAACTAGTCAAACTGAGGTTGCTAATAGGTCGCAAGTTTAATAATACAAGGCAGATCTGTGCATATTGTAGTTTAAGTAACAAAATATTGGCAGTAATTGTATTGTGTAAGCTTGCCTTAGGAAAATTGTATCATATAAATTAGTAATTTTGAAGATAAATTAAAATATCATCATTTTGAATAATATAAAAGATAACTAAAGGATTAGGAATTTTTAAAATATCAAATTTAAATATAAAACATAATAATAAATTTTCATTGTTGCCAATTCCAGGATCATAAACATTCCATATTAGCATAATAAGTAATCAATACAATTAATTAACTAACTAAACAAATTCATACCTTCCATTGTGTAAGTTTTGCCAGTTCCAGTCTGTCCATAAGCAAATATCGTCCCATTAAATCCTTCTAGAACAGATTCAACTAAAGGTCGAAATATCTCATCGTAGAGATCTGTTTGCTTTGCACTAAAATATTTAAAACTTTAGTTAGTATACAATAAATAAAACTGAAGTAATAATAAAATCTAAATAATATATGACTATTTCGTAGAGTATTACATTATGAATACGAGGGTCGTTCAATAAGTCCTTAGAAAAAGATACAAAAACAAATTATTTTACGTAGATTTTTTTTTATTTTTCAACATAATCTCCTTTAAGCTCTATACACTTTTCCAAGCGTTTCTCCAACTTTTTTAAGCCATCTAAAAAGTAAGATTTCGGAAGGTCCTCAAAATAGGCATCTGTTTGGGCGATGACCATCTCGTTTGACGTGAATCATTGTCCGCCATACCATTTTTTTAAGTTTGGAAATAAAAAAAAGTCACTTGGGGTCAAATCCGGTAAATACGATAGATGTTGTAATAATTTCAACTTTAATTCCGTGATTTTGGTTGTCGAAACTGCACAGGTGTGCACCCGTGCATGTCTTGATGGAAGAGGATCTTTTTCATTTTCAAATGAGAACATTTTTCCTTGATTTCTTTGCTCAATCAGTGCAATAATGACACATAATACTCTCCAGTTATTGTTTTTCCTTTTTCCAAGTAATCAGTGTAGATGATTCTGCATGTATCCCAAAAAACCGTGGCCATCATCTTCCCGGCTGATTTCACTGTCTTTGCCTTCTTTGGTGCTCTTTTGCCTTCAAAAACCCACTGTTTTGACTGTTCTTTGGTCTCTGGAGTATAATAGTGTATCCATGTTTCGTCCACAGTTATGTATCGATGCAGAAACTCGTCAGGATGCGACGAAAAAGTGCCAAAATAGCCTCAGAGTCGACCACACGATTACGTTTATTCTCCACTGAGAGCAAACGCGGCACCCATCTTGCTGAGATTTTTTTCACAATCAATTTTTCGTGCAAAATTGAAAACACTGTACCTTGCGATATGCCTGTGGCCTCAACTATTTCACGCACTTTCATTTGTCAATCACTCAAAACCATATCGTGGATTTTGTCAATCATTTCAGGAGTAGTCACTTCCACTGAACGTCCCGAACGACGTTCATCTTTTGTGGATGTACAACCATGTTTGAACTCATTTACCCAATTGTAAATAGTTGCAAACACAGGAGCAGATGTGCCATGAACTTCATCCAACTGAACTTTGATCTCTTTTGGTGTTAAACCTTTTAAATATAAGTGTTTAATCACCACTCAAAACTCACTTTTTTCCATTTTTCTAAATAAACAAAAGTTTCTTTCTTCAATCGACAATAAAAAACCATGTGATGGATATAACTGAGACTTTCACAACTGTCTAGTGAGACATGATGCTTACAAAAAACGTGCCATTTTTGAGGCTACGAATGCCATCTATTGGATTTTCTAAGGACTTATTGAACGACCCTTGTACCATATTTACTGTAACATAATATGTACTTTTTTCAAGTATATTTATAAAAGAAGGGTGTGTCTTATATTTGATGTAATATACCACAAGTAGTGACCTCTAGAGCCATGCATCTTATTGCATTATATCATTTTAATAATTGTATTAGAGTAAAATTAGCAATACAATATTTAAAGAAGTAAACTTAGCTCAATAAGTAACTTCATAAATACTTGATTGAAAATTCATGAAAAAGTTGTATGGCATTCTTTCAAGAAATGTTACGTTCTGATACTTTAAACAGATTGAATACAATTACATATGGGAAGATGTGAATGTCAAATCCAGTGTTGATTGGCATAGATTTAGTTTACTTAAATTAAAACTACATACATATAATGACTAAAACTCAAACTAATATTCAGGCAATGTGACTAAAACAATATTAATGTTAATTCATAACACAGAATACAGTGATAAATAATTTATTTTACTTGTAATAAATAATGACACTGTTAATCTAAATCAAGTTATCTATCAAAAAAAAATTTGTGGATGAACATGTAGAAATTAAAGTGAATCTTAGATTTGAGTAAATATATAAATGTGTTGCAGTGTGATTGTTAATTAATTAATTTAGCCACTTTGTAAAGTGGAGCTTTACAAAGCAGCTAAAAATTATATTTGACGAACAAAAATTTCAAGCCATTATACTTATGTTATGTAAGTCGTTAGTAAGGACAAATTATTTAATAATTGCAATAATAATTAACATTTATATTTGACATAATTATCTCCTTAGTCTCCATTGACGTATATATACGTCAAGCCTACATAGCCTTATGAAAAACGTGGTCCTTAAGGCCATTTTTGAAAATTTTTTTTTTTGAATTTTTGGAATGTTTTTTAGGTCCCCAAATTTTTTCAAAATTTTTTGCCTGTGCGAAAAAATTTTATCGCGATTTTAATTAGCCTTTAATAAGGCTCAATTAAGGCTCAGTTGTTTTTTAATAGGAGTTTTTTATCAAATTTATTTCATGGTTTCTAAGTTGTAGTGCACAGATATTCATTCGGTAATTAAAGTCAGTTTCTGACATCAAAAACGACCTCCAATGGTTTTTTAATTTTTTTAATTAATATATTTTTTTAATATAAAATGAATTAATTAGGGGGGGTCGAAAATCGCAATAAAAGTTTTAATTTTTTAAAAATATTTAAAAATTTCCGTGTTGCTTATATTCACCCTACTTTAAACCCTTGACCTCCCGCGGCGTACATGGGAATGTCCCAGGAAATCAGACTCCAGCTGTGTTCAAGGTCACCCAGCTGTTGACAGCAAACAATGACTCATTGGTGTTAAATTTCACAGAAAGGCGAAACAAAGGAAAATAAAATTTGAAGCTTTTTCTTTAAAATTAATGCATTTCTTTCGTTTTTTTTTTCAGTTTTAAGTATTTTTAATGTATTTTAATATTAATCTTATATCAATTTAATTAATGATCGGAAATGAAGGGGTTATAACCCATCAAATTCAAGTATTAATTACTTAATGTGTTTTTCTTCATAATTTTAATAAAATATTTGTCTCAAAAACTTTTCATTTTGAGAATTTACAAGAATTCTAATTTACGAGTGATATTTAATAGTTTAATGCATAGAGACAAACTAAAAGTAAATAGACAGCCTGAATGTCAGCAATACTAACTCTGAAAAATACATTGCCATATTGGAAAAGGGTCTTCTAATATTCTCTGGTGGGCTAATGGATGAAATATCCATTCTGTTCAGGAACAATGGAGCAGCTCCTTGTCACATTGCTAAAAATTTTACTCTAAATTGCCTGGTAACACAAGGCACCTGTAAGCTTCCATGGACCGGTTGGTAACATGAAATTCCATTGAATGTCTGGAATCTGCTAGATCCTGCAGCGCAATGACATTCACGAAAACCCACTTCCCACAATGGATTTCTTTGTCGGAAGTGGGTTTATATGAATGATCTTTTAGATTGCTTGTGAGCCAACTGAGGCAATATAGCAGAACTCAATAATTCCATACTCAGTCCAGTTAAAGCTTTGAAGAAAGCAAGTGGTGAACAACTTAGCTTTAATAGAAACATGTGAAAACTGTGAAATAAAGATGCTTGATAATTAGGGTGTCTACTTATGTTGCCTCTGTACTTTTAAAACAGGAATGTCGTACGTAAAAGACAAAAATCATTCTTTCTTTATGTAAACAAAGTTTTTTAAATTAACATTATCAGCTATATAGTAATTAATATGGATAAAAACTTACTTCCAATCAAATACAGCATCAAATGTAAACTGTTTATATGGTTCTCCATTTATATGTTTAGGATTTCTAACTTCTACAACACCTCTTTCTGGATGCATGTCAACAACTCTAAAACATTATAATTATGATTAAATAAATGCTTCATCAATAGTTATAAACATTTAGATTTTAATTAGTGTCTTATAAATACCTATCATATCCTTCTCCGACTTCTTTCTCACTCATGGGACGACATCTGACGATAACTTTTACACATTCCGAACTAACGGATTTGATCTGAAATGATATTTATGTTATATAAAACATTCTAAGTGAAAAAATTCAATAATTTATGAAATAAAATTCTAATTTCAAAATATATTTTTGGATTATAAAGTTGTGTGTTACAATCAAGAACAGGAAAAATTTTATGCACAGGTTAATTACAAACTTTTGGCATACTCAAACTCTAAGACCTTGCTAGACTAAGATAATAAATATAACAACAACTCAGTTTTTAAAGAACTATTGACAGCTAGAAACTTAGATTAACCATATATTAAATGTAGAAAGGCATTCATGCTTGATATCACAGCTTCGTTTGTTCAAGCAATCATATATAAGTTAAATATAAATGTAAAGGGAGATCACCTACAGCTGCAATGAAAATAAGTGAATGTGTGCTATGGGCAATGTCATCTCTGGTCATTCAGTGAACAAGTGTCCTCTCATAATTCTGTCTGGATTAATTAATTAAAAATGGTATGGCAAATTTAGTGGTGGGTTTATATTTATTTAGTTTATAGAAATATTCATCTTTAATTTAGATTAAATTTGTTGATTTACAACTAAAGTTTATTATACACGTGTTTATATATGCATATTTCTCATAGTTTGATATATATTTTATCATATATTCAATATAATTTATATTAGACATGAAAATAGGACACAGTCATAAAATAGAAGAATCTTTCATAGTTGATGCTAACATAGTTTCAATATCAACAATTCAACATTACTTGACACTTATCACTTCAAAAAAGTGATTTTTCTTTTTTTTTGTATGATTCATTAAAGTGTAATAAACTATAATACACATTATTTTTACAATATTTTACTTTCACAAAATTTCCGATACTGCTCTCTGCACATCACTAAAAATATAAGCTTCAGACAAACTAGAAATGTTGTAGAAAAACTGCTTTAGGTTATCCAATATTCAATTGCTTGTATTCTCATGTAGTTTTGTATTAATACAATATATACAAAAATAAAAATAATTTGATAATTAATGTTTTGTTCTTGGTTCCTTGTATTAGTTTTTGGGCTGAAATTTTCAAGTTATGGACCTATAAGTTCCCATTGTCGTCCATCTGTCCTATGTTAAAGTTAGATAGATGAAAATCAAAACCAGATATGGAAAGCTTAGGTTCTGATTAATTGTAAAAAACTTCCAGTCTTGATTGGAAGTTATGTCATTTAAATTCAAAATTTTTACTTAAATTAAAATATGATTAAAAATTGTAGTGCAAAATTGTGATAATGTCGCAATAAATAACAGTGACTTTTTATCTATCCTTTCATGTTATCATCTTAGTTTGCTCATAATAGATGGAAATTGCTTTCTAAATAAACTTCGTTTGAATTATTTACCATATTTACTCGCATATAAGACAAGGTTTTCTTTCATTTTTCACTGCTTCAAAGACTTACATTGTGCTATATGCGTGAGCAAAGGATACTTAACATTTTTGTGAACTGTGTATAGTTCATGCCGTAATTACAGGTTTACAGTTTATCGTAAGTTTGCACCTATTGTAAACTAATTAAGGCACATCCCATTTGTTTATTGGTTTAATCTTATGTCCAACAATTAAAAACTGCATTGCACCTCATTAGCCCACAGAAAAAAGTTCCTCATTATTTATAAAATCATTAATGAAATACAGGTACTCAGCAATGATTATCAATGTAGTTATTTCATTTTAGTTAAATTGTTATTTTTAATGGATATTAGTACATTCTGAATCATTAAAAATAAACTATTTCCGGTCAAGTGCATTATAATGTTTTGGTTTTGTTTTCCATTCAATTTCTAGCTATTTTATCCATTTCACAACAGAATTACAGTACAAAATATTGTTTTTATTCTAATAAACAGCACAAGTACAATATGAGAAAAGTTATAAACAGCATCCTCTGATGGTAAGTGTACTATTTATTGGATGAAGATAAGGCTTATTTTGAACTGAAAAATGCAAATTTATCAGCAATAACACTCTTACTGTATATTGAAATAAACTATGAGTGTTTCAAAGGTCGCATTTAGTCAAATAATAACAAAGTAAAACGTTACAGGATTTATTCCATTAATAGTAACACACCAAATTCCCAATGAATTTGGTGTGTTACATTTAATAGATAAGATTACGGACAAAAATCAAAAATGCTCAATTAGCAGAAACGCTGACCATAACATGTTGTGGCTTTACAGAATGGTTACTTATAAAGAGCCGTGATAAATCCTGGTATTTTTAGCATACTCCACTATAGTGGTAAAGTGCTACGTTAGGACTTTTGTCCATCTGTCAGATTTTCACGCACATGCACAATGACTTCACTTTCATTACCTAAGTGTTATGTTCTGTTCAATCCCTTTATTGCGCTTGTCCACATGCATGTACAACTACTTAATTCTAGGAATTTATAAAATTTATTTTAAAGAAAATTAATATTTGATCCGCATGCTATGAGATTAGCTTGTCCAAGCTTGATTCAAAATGCCATGATGTGAAATACACGTCAAAACTGTTTAAAAATATGGCTGTAACACGTTCCAGCATTATCAACATAACACAATAATTAAGAACTAGCTCAATTATCTTTACAGGAACTGTTAGAATAACACTTAAAATTACAGTTGATATTTGTACTTTCTATTGATCCAGTACCTCTTACAGTTGCAGCTTACAAAGCCCTCTTAATTCTGGATGTTATATGTGAAGCTAACCAAAGAAATATATGGTATGCCCTCAAGTTCTTTATGTCAATGAAGCTGTTGTGAGCAATTGTAAACTCAGTGAGAGGAGAGAGAGAGAGGAGAGAGAGAGCTGTTCAAGTGCAATTGGTCGCCAAGAGCCTTGGTGCCCTACTGATAAATTACTGAGTTGACTGAACTGTCTTTGCTTTTCTTCCTCAACAAGGTTAAGAAGGCAGATTGCAATATGCATGGGCGATAAAAATGTCTTATGTTGTTTCTGTAACAATGCATTATGATATGCAGTTTCTTGACCCTGTACATCATACTTTTCCTGATAACAGTAGTCATGTCATCATCTATCTAAATCTGTTCTGGAGAAAATTTTTGAATTGAAAAAAATGTGACTTTTAATTTAGACTGGGAGTTTGTATGTAGTTAATCAGAGCCTCCTATTCCTAAGCTCTCCATATCTGGTCTCAACTTTCCTCTAACTCCGTTCTCAAGATTAATTAAGGAAGGATAGACAACAGACAGATACCAATGGAAAATTATAGGTCTACAATTTGAAAACTGCAGCCCAAAAAGATCTAGCATAATGTGAGCACTCAAAATTCTTTGAGTTTCTTAAGCATTACTAAATAATTAGTGTGTTACGGAAAGTTGATTAAGACTTAAAAGAAAAAAATATTGTAGCAGAGTTTGGAATTGCTGAGAGTAGTTTATCAACTATAATAACAAATTGTAAATCAATTTTGAAATTAGCCAATGATGCGAGCCCTACAAGAAAATGTGCTAGAACCTGCATTTACATGAGGGCCCAGAATCCGAATCCCTCATTAAATGTACAAAAATTCAATCCATTAAAAAAAAAAAGATTTTATTATAAAAAAAAATGTAAGAAATAGATCTGTCACAAAGATATAAAAATAAACAATAAAGTCAACCCCATGACAAGTAGTCATGAGGAGTTGGAATGTTTAGAATGTTAATGGAAAGATTGAGCTTTGACTCTTATGTTTATAGACATGACAAAATTTAGAAAAAAACGAAAAAAACATAGCATTCCTTTAAAAGAATAACTATCTCATTATAAATAATAAAAACATAGAAAAATTCATGTGTCAGAAATGAAAATACCATCGTGTGAGATACGAGTGAAAGTTTCAAAGTTCAATCAACACTTATGGACAAAGTGAAATGGAGGTGTCAGATTGATTAATGGAGAATGATCTTTCCCACATTTGATCTGGTCGTCTAATTTCACCCGGTAACAGGGAAGGACCAATTGGGAGGTTGAGAGAGAAAATTGGGACCAATCAAATTAATAATTTCAGGAAGAAATCCTTTAAACCTCAAAATTCCAGGACAAAGTGTGGTTGTCTCTCTTTCTTTCAACCTGTTTGTCCTCTGTGTTGGTTTACCTATCATCTCTGACTTCATCTTCATTCTGCCGCACTATGCCGACTACTAGCCCATCTGCCCCGAGGCTGTTGATTGCCATTGAAACTTTGTGCCATCGGCATCAAGACTCCAACCAATTGTTGTGGATAAACAACACTGAATTATAGACTGAACTGTCTACATTAGTTTGTGTCAAAAAGAAAAAATTTGTGACCAGAATTATGGAAGCATTGTCTTCCAAAAAATGGTCTGTTACATAAAGGTGACTGTCTTGACGCTGACAATCACATCACACTACATTAGCACCTCTTGTATGTCTTCAGAGGAAGAGGGATTGACTTCACTGTTCTCTCCATTGGCAAAATCTCACATTTATGTCAATGTAGATGAAGCAGTTTTAACGCTCTTAATAAGTGTGAAGCATATGAAAAGTGAACATTTTTTAATTGTTCTGTGCAACAAAAAATTAATTTTTTTTTCAAATATGTAAATTTATTTAAAATTATAACTACATTTATATTACATTATTACTGTATATTACATTTATATTAACTTAAATTATGTAAAATAATGAAACAATTATGTTAAAATAACACTTTATTTACCAAAAAGTGTAATTTCTGTATAACAAAATTTCCCTGTAGCAATTTTTTTCATGATTTAGCAACTTTGTTATATAAACATTTGACTGTATATACAGGAATCGAAGTTGCTGCTTTTCAGGGGATGCCTTCTCCACCCCCAACACCTATAGTAATTCCGAATATCTCATTTGAAAGGTAATTGTTTTCTTAGGTAGTGTGCAAAACTTCAGATTTTTCTATAAAGAGTTGCTGAAATATAAGCAGTGAAAAACTGCAAAACTTGCCAAAAAAGTTGTTTTTATTTCTTCTTTTTCTTCATCTGATACTGTAGACACGCTTAGAGAAAAAACTACTGAGTCTAGAAAGCTCAGATTTTAAATTTAAACCTATCACATTATCAATGAGGTAATGGTGAAACACCGAGTCGACAGATCAAAGTTCATGGGATTCCCCATAGAGCTATTTTACTTTTATTGCTTAATTTTATGCTTGTAAGAATAAAATTGAATTGAAACAAATGATTTTTATTCAAAATATTATCCAGAATAAGAAAAGCTCAACTTTATGCAAATTAAAACTTTTTATAATGATTTTACTAAATAGCATATTGTAAGCATTCGGCTGGCAGCCGTCACTGAGCATACTGTATATACATTATTGTCATAGGTCTTGACATAATAGCACAATTATTAACCAAAAAACAATTGTAAGATGTAAAAAATTGCACTAAGTAAAAAATTATGACAATTTAGATGACAATCGAATTTTTTCTTAGGAGTTTTTCCTTGACAAAGATAAACTTGTTATTTCAAACTGTACCTACAAGAGTTTTATCATTGTTTCCTATATTACAATTTGAAGCACCAAACTTATCTTTAGTAAAGAAAAAATATTTGATTGACATCTAAATTAGCATAATTTTTTTTACTTGGCACAATTTCTTATATCTCAGATGTTTTTGTTTAAATAATTATTTAACCTGAATTCAGTTTGAAATGTTCAAGATGTAAAAACATTCTAAATATTATAGTATTTACCACAATTTACATTGTTTACAAATTAATGAAATGAGGAATTTCAAAAAATTTATTTGCTTAAATTAATTCAAATCTGATTGATTCTAAGAGTCAGTTCACAGTTCAACAGCAGCATGGCATTGTGATAGTGATGTTCTTAGAGTTTCGTACATTTGCTGTCCTCTGTTCTGTTAGACACCAAACTATAAATGCACACTTCTAGTTGACATATCTCTAAAGTCAAATAATGTTCAGCTTTAACATTTTATGCCAATGCCACACTGTGCCAAGTTAGACATTAATTAACCAGAGTTTGATTATAAACTGGAACTCCCGCAACAGCTAGATAGCAGGACACATCACACTATTGTTGAACTATAAACTGGCCTTAAACATTACAGTATCTAATTACAATAAAAACATATAAATTATACTTATTAATTTTATTATTAATAATAAAAATTTAGTTAATTACAATAAATATTTAAAATATAAATCTGTAAATATAATTTCTTACTTGTTTTTTAGAACATACCATATCAGTACTGTAACTGATCACTTCTGACATTTTGTTTTCTGTTTAATCTGATATAATTAAAATAATAATAAATTAGTGTTAAATAATTTCATAAATTTAAAGTAATTAATATATTTTTTAACATATACTACAATTATCAATGCTAAAGAACTCAATAATCTTGTATGTTAATAATAACAACAACAACATGGTTACAATATTAGACATGTAAAAACAACAGTTTACATTGTCACATCTCATGTACAGTATATGGATAACATGGACAACATGCAGCCACTAGCAGACTCAAATAACACACCATTAAACTTACTTCTAGCAGACTCAAATAACACACCATTAAACTTACACTAACATCAAATGGACAAGACACAACATATAAAAAGCATAGACACCATCAAGCAATCGTGGGCTCGAAAGGCACTCCATGGCAGACATCCCTATGACCTGACTCAGGATTTTGTTGACAAAACAGTGTCAAACAGCTGGTTTAGCTTGGGGATACCTCTTTAGGGAGACAGAAGGATTAATGATTGCCATAAAGGATCTCGTCATAAATACTAAAAACTACAGAAAACACACACTCACAAATGTCACATCATGCCAGAAACTATACAACACATTACTTCTGGTGGCAAGCTCTTGGCAAAGACATAATCAAGTAGCAAATATAATACACCAAGAGCTTGCAAACAAACACAAATTATTAGACATCCACGAACCATACTACAAATACATTCCACAGAAAGTATTGGAAAACAACACGCATAAAATGTACGACGACAGAACCATAACAACAGAAAAAACAATTTACCACAACAGACCAGCCATCACACTTATTGACAAACACAATAAAATAGCATAGACATATCCATTCCAAACACTCACAATGTACAAACACATTAACTGAAAAAATTAGCAGTATACAGAACTCGCCCAGGAAATAAGGCATCCGTGGAGGATGGATTGGGTGCTTATTGTACCTGTCGTTCTCTCCTGTACAGGTGTGATACCACACACACTACACAAAAGCCAGGGAACATTACAATTGAATAGAAATACATACATCACACTACAGAAGGCCACTATATTGAATAGATGCCACATTGTTAGGAAATTCCTGAATACAGACACTGACACACTTATTTAATTTTAGTTTTTGGTTGCTATGCCTTGATTCTGGTCCGGCATAGTACATAGCCACCAGTATCAACAGAGTATAACCCACATAATAATAATAATAAATTTCTTTACATTAAACATTTAAGTAGATTAACATCAAAATTCTGTTTTATTTATCAGATGACCTACATAATGTTAATGTTTAAATTAATGATTGTTTTGAATATGATTTGTATAAAAATTTTGTTTAGTGGAATGTAAACAACATATAATAGTTTTTTTGTAAAAGCACACCAAAATTTTGCTTTTCTAATTGTTTGCATTCTAAATTTGAAACTATTAAACTGATTTCGTATTAGAACAGACATATATACACAATTTATGCAGCCATCAATTACATTCTGGTTGAACTTACTCTCAAAATCAACTCTACATATTCATCTAAAAGAAAAGCTAAGTAGATCTTTGGAAGAAGCTGGTACCAAAGAAAAATCTACCAATAGATTCTACCAAAAATAAATATATAAATAAATAAACTTACTGTATTTTTAAATCTAAGTTATACTTTTTAAGTCATCCAAATGCTTATATATTTATTGGATTTCCTGTTTAAACATTTACCATCCAATGAATAAATTGAAACACCTCAATACATATATATAACTAACAAATTCTAAAGGTAAATTTCAATTTGTGTAATGCGTATAAAAATGTTTCTGTATCTCAGCTAGTTTTTATTTTACTAAAATAACTTGTGTTGTAGTGTTTTATATTCTTGTTTTCTAGTTTTATCATCTTAACAGAAATAATTCATTAAATCATTTAGTTCTTGCTAAAGAATATAAATGATTATCAACAGAATCATCTGTCAGAAGCATTTTTTTGCAACACTATTATATAAAAATTGGCTGAATAATAGTCATACAAAAACAAATTATCAACATCATCAAATTTACTGTATTTATTACAAAATTAAAAAACTTATATAAGTAATAATTTTAAGCTATTCATTACATACAGTTTATAGAATTAGAAATAAATACAACATGTTTGCTACTAACTGCCACATTTGATTAGCTCAGCTAGTAGAATATTAAAATAATTTTATATTAAATTGTAAGAGTATAAAATGTTATTAAATTTATTATATTTATCGAAATGTAAATTACAATTTTTGCAATTTAGGTAATGGTGGAACATCACAATAAACATCAAAAACATAAATTGGAAACATCTATATAATTTGAAATATAAAAATATTACTGCTAAAAATATAAATAAGAATATTTGATTGTAATTACCTTCAGAACAATGATACAATGCAAGATTGTATCATTAAAATATAATTAAGGACATTAATAGCAAATTGTACTAATGTTAAACTACTTATTAATGTATGTAATGATAATATTGTAATTATTTTAAAATTAAGTACAAAGATCTATCTATAAAATTTTAAAATAATAATTGTTTTAAATTAATTCTACTTTTACATAAAAAAAATAAAATTGTTAAAAACTGCAAAAAATTCAATAAGAGCTAATAATATACATTTAAAAAATTAAACGACAAAACTAAAAAAATCAGATTGAAACTCACTAAATACAGATAAAGAATTCAAATATTTAAATTCAATTTGCAAAATTAATATCAGTCATAACTCAATTTGGATCCATAAAAACCACCTTAAAATATATGACCTAAGTCAAATCGGTTACAATGGAAATAAAATAAACCACGTCTGGCAAAAGTATATTTTTGTATAATATTGATTTGTTGTTTGGCAAGAACACTTACAAGTAAATTATCAGTCTAGCTAATTCTGAACACAAGATAAAATCATTTATACATATAAATAATATAAAGAATTAATCATAAATAATTTTTTAAAAATTTCACTTTTAAAAATTCCAAAAAGAATTTTTATAAATTATTCTAAAAGGAAATTTTTCCGAAAAGCAAAATTTCTTTTTTTTTTGTAAAAACAGAAGGAGCATTATATAAAAAAAAATTTCATAGTTATGTAAGAAAATATTTCAATATTGTAATGAAATGTTTACATATCAAATGATATTCTTTCGGAATGAATCATCGGTAATTTTAGATAGAAGCATTTTCATTGGTTGTCATCTTCAATTTTTTTTATAATAAAATTATATTTGCCTAATGCAGTATAATAAAAGTATTTCATTTGTGACTTTCAAGAAATTTAGAAGAATTTTGGTGATTATTTTGTTTGCTAGACAAAAATTTTGCTTAAAATTTAAAGAAAGGGAATCAATAATAAATAATATGTCTTTTTGAATTTATAACCTGAGACAGATAAAAGAATTTCTCTTGGCAGTCTCACAAACAGAAAATATAAATTATAGTTTAACATGACTATCTCAAAAAACTGCTTTATCCCAAAATTTTTCCCCTGCATTTTCAGTCTAAATTCAATATATTTTCCATGTTTATCTCATATAATTTTCTCCCAAAACCTCTTTACCTCAAACCTTGGATTGAAGTGTCAATTACAAATTCTAAGCTCAGCAACCACATTTTGAAATATAAACTGTACTAGAGAAACATCTCTTGCAATACAGTACATATATGCAATTAATACTGCTTTTCTCTGATTGGCTATGAGTTTGGCTTGCATCTTATTGGTTGAAAAAAGTCAGGTATCAGAAACTTCAATCAATAAGACAACAGCTAAAATAGGTAATAATCCACCACATAGTTATTAGCAAGTTTTATATATATAAAACTTGAATCATGAATTTATGTATGTAATATACAGTTGCAGAAGCTACTCTATATCACACACATTGCCACGTAACTCATAATTTATTATTCAGAAGATTTCTTGCTGTTACCATGCCTCTGCTTGATCATAACTTAATTCTGCTGAATGTAACCATTGTTTTAAGATGCTCATCTATATTATATATATTATAATTACTTAAAATTTAATTTCTCCAATTCTGCTTTGTTTTAGATTTCTAAATGGAAATTACTAGTGATGCACAATTTACTTCAAAGTAGCAACAAATCTCATTTGGTTCATGACTTTCAACAAATAGAAAACTTATTTAACAGATGTATAAGTACAAATACAATTAACAATAATATAAATTACTAAATCCAGGCGATAAACTAACATTTAATCAAACTAAAAATCTTTAACTAAGATTAAATATCCTATTTTATAAATAATCACAGTGTAATATTTTCAAGTTCTTCATTTTCAAGTTATCCAAACAACCCCAGTCCCCAATTGATTCGCATAAACGACGCTCTACTGTATAACCATGGAGGCAGCCATATTGCTTTGTCAGATCTCATCTTATCCACAGCCCAATGAATGCAACTTGCATTAGAACACATTTTAGTATATTGCAGCTCACTGACACACTACACACTGTTTGATACATACTGGAATGTGTACAATCTGATCCATAGTGTCAACTATATATAATGAAGTCTGAATCAGATTCTAACCCATATCCCAAAATGGTAAGCTTACCAAATGGAACTTTTTACAGAACAACTTAGAAGTGTTAATTACATAATGTGTGTATCAATTTTGAATACCACAAATACATTTTATTGAACACATTCTAAAAATGCAACAACTTTAATAACATTGTATGATCAGAATCAATCATTATTTTTTTACCAAAGTAAATTATTTCAACAAAATATTTCTTAGTACAAATGCATTCATATCTAGATAACTAGAGAAATATTTTGCGGTTAGTCATTCAGAGATTAATATAGATAATTATATCTAAGTGAAACTTAGATTAACTCTTATATGATTACAAGTTATATAATAATTAATAAAAATTAATATACTGTACACGGTAAATGTAAATTCCTTATACACTGATGTGCAAGTGACACGTAACTAATAAATGCTGCATGAAAGCATAAGAAAATGAGAAATACGTATTATAAACACACAAAAAATGAACGAGAACACATCAGAAATACACATTTTACTCTCTTCAGCATTTCATTTTTTCTATTCATGCTATCCATGTACAGTACACGTTATTCTTTTGTACTAAATCAACTGTGCTCTACAACTTTGTATTTGACTTTTTTCTGCATCACATACTGTTTTCAAGCTAGGAGCATTAATTTCTGAATGTTACTGGTAGGGGTCTAAAAGTGGTCTCATCTTATAGTGTACTACAACATACATACATACATACATCCATCCATCATGTTCATAAATATAGCCTTCTGCATTCATCAGTTACATGAGTGTAAAAGGACTACTAATGTATTGTAATGGCCTTACAGTCAGAGTCTAGAAACTTTATGGGAAACCAGTAAAACTCTTTAATTATCAAAACATCTTTTCTATCTAAGCAAACTTCAAAACAGTCAAATTTTTCATCATTTAATGTTTATAATATATAATTATATGTTATCAAGTTATTCATAGTTTTCTTGTAACCTATTATTAAAATTTGATCAATTTATATGCAAATGCAAGACTTTCATGTATTGCATGCTACACTTCTGATCTCATTTACATCATCAAAGATAAGCTTAATCCGAAAGGAAGTCAGCCAATATAAAAGAGGAAGAGGAAACAATGCATCACTTCATATCATAAAAAATCCTTTGCCTCTACATCAGCATCATAACTGAAAGAATTAACAGCAGAAGAAGAAAAATTTATTCTTATTTAAAGTTTACTTAGATAGTCCCAATGGCAGTGCTTCCGACTGTTCGTGCTCCTGTAGGAAAGCCACCAATTGTTTAATGTCACTAGTTATTGATTCACGGTAGTTCTTGGAACAAAAGAAAAATGAAAATGTCTAATAAGAATGTAGTTAACCTAACCTAACCGCCGCCATTGAGACTACCTAGGTAAACTTTAACCTTATTCTTTCATCATAAATGCTAAGTAAGTGTTTTCCAGTTTATTTTAGCTCATCTTCAAAATATACATTTTTGGAACACAACATTCAAAACTTTGTGATGTGATACGATCATGTTGCACAGCTAGAACAGCACACAGTCACTATGGTACAATACTTAGTAAAGTTGCTTTATAATAAGCAGAATAAGCAGCCCATTTGTAAAGAAGCAAGTCATTGGCTTCTTTATCCAGGTATATTAGAGCTGTCGACAAGGTAGAAAAGGCAGCAATAAATCTAAAAGCCAAGCAATCAATAATACAAATGATTTGTAAATTTTAATTGCAGAGACACTAGATGGTACAAAATGACCAACCCGGTGCAAGCAAGCGGATCCTGAAATCAGATAGATTAACATCAAGAACACAAAGATAACAAATTCAAATAGGTTTCAGTTTTACTCATATACAGTAATGCAATGCACGAGCGATCTGCCGAAGGAAAATGCCTCCCAGAAGGTCTCTTACGGGAAACTGGCCTCTATTAACGTGAAGAAAACCCAAAAAGCCTCATGCAACCAACCCTTCAGCGAGGTGCAGACCCACAACCAATAGCGTTCAGTGGCATTATCCACTCGACCACAAATTCAAATATCTTCCGCTTGAATACAAGTAAAGCAGAAAACTGATCAGCAGCTGTTATTGAGTTAAAAAGTTGTGTTCATAAATAATTAATTATTTACTATTTATTTACAATTCTCCGAATAAAAATAATTACATTACCGTACAGATTGAACTGAGGTGCGTTCATTTACTCCAAATAGTGCACTTCTACGTCAAATTGACATCACCACCACATTCTCTCATAAGAAATATTCAAGAATGACGTCAAAATGACGTAGTGGTTCGAACCAGACGATATTTATTAATTTTGTAACTCCGTATTAAACGAACGCGTACAATACAATCGACGAATCAAATATTAAACAGCCATTTACGTCTTAATTAACTTTTAGAATTTATTAATTAACAATATTTAATGATTTTATTAGCAATTCTATATAAAATCGGCCTCTCTTACCTCAAATAATCGCTCGATTCACTAAGCCTAAATTACGAAGCGTAAATATTTCAATTTGCGAAGTTTATTGAGAACGAGGGAAGAGTTCTTGAATGTTTCTTGAGTTTAGCCATTAATCAGATGATTTTCGGGTCGGAATTAGACCCGATTTCGAGTCTGTCACAGAAAAGAATTCATTTGTTTCTAAATCTGACATTCATCCATCGAAAACAGCCGATAATTGACCCGACGCATGCGTAGTTAACTGTTACCCCCACAATATTATTTAATATTTATAGAAATTTAAACATATTTTCAATTTATATTTATTTATTAATTCCAATTAAAAAATAAATAATAAAATGAAATAACATGACGTTACGGATTTTTTTTAAATAATTGCTGATCCATTCTTTTTTTTTAATTTTATTCACCAGGGGCCTAAAATTCGCTTGGTATTTTCACGCGCTTTTACGTCGATTTACGTCATTTCGCAAATTTTTAATGATTATTATCATCATATAGATGTACCACTGTCGCCATCTTGATTAAATTTAAAAATCATTCTTATTTTTTTTTAAATAAAAATGATATTTGAGTTTAATTTTTCCCGAATTGAATTTATTTCTGTATTATTTTATGAAATTATTCATGAGAATTTAAGCTGATTTGTCAAATTGTAGATGTATATTGTGGGTATAGAACTACTTTTTAGTGTTCCAATAGTAGATTATTTTTATTATTTCCGCCTCTGCGGCACTAAGACGCTTTTTTTTAATTTTTTTTGGCAAAAGCATCATCGATTCGGACAGGCCCGCAATGGGGAAGATTGGATGACGACGGACGGAGCAATAAATATCCGCAACTTTCCTTTTACAGAAAATAGCCGAGCGGCTTGCCGGATCGATCCAGGATCCCCGAGAGCAGTAGGCTGAGGCTTTAATCGCTTCAGCCAATGATTTTGGTCGTCTGCCCGAGATCGGCGATTTTATTTATTTATTTATTTTTTATTAATTTTTAATTGTTTAAAGTGTTGCCAGCTGAAGTATTCCGAACTGGCAACACGGTTGCGACGAACGTCACTTCCGTCTTGTAATGCTGAATAACACGTTAAACAACAAGACTAAGTTTTCATTAATCTAGACCGTAATTTATAATAATTTTTTTTAAAATGTCGGTTATAAAGTCGTTAAAGAACTTGTATATACTAGAAATATCGGTATTGATCGCCATATTATCGAATATTAGTAGTAATTGCGATGCAACTGTAGTCCTGAGGCCTAGAGGTGTACCTTTATCAAGTAAGATGATTTAAAGAGTGTAAAATCTCGAATTATTCGTTATTCTGAAGCAAATTTAAATTAATTTTGTGCAAATACGAACATTTAGCTAATTGCCAAGTTGGATTTTGCATTATCTGACTGCCAATGATGCTGTTGCTATGGTACTGGCTGGGGTCACGTGACCCCAGCCGGTACCATAGCAACAGCATCATTTGGCTAGAGTCACACGGTCACGTGACTCCAGCCGACCATACCACACGGATTACCTGGTATACCTGATTCACAAATCCAAATCAACTTTATAGTAATCGTGGTGCAAATATACCTCTGAATAAGATGGCTGGGACCTTATTAGAGCTGTAGACCATACCCATGGGTGGAGAAAAGTCAGAGGAACCATACCCTACGTGCGACCCTTCGAGAGATGCAGTCCTCCAATGGCCAGCTTTCGGGTCGTGTCACTCTGCTAAGAGTATTGCATGTAACCCTTCGGCCTGAGCGACTATGCTGGCTTTGAGTAGCCCATTTGACTGTGGAGTACTTGATGTTATATAGTTTTAGGGGGTGCGGGTTTTGAGGTGCGAGTGATAGCAAGCACCGAAGTTCACGACTATGCGTGGAGTGTTGTTCGTAGGCTTGCTATTGCTCGTCTTGACTGACTCGAAGAGTAGACGGTACTGGTACGCAGTAGAAACTGATCTTTGGAGGCAAATGTCTTGCAAAGGGTTGTGTGTATGGGTGTGGTTCCTTTAAATTTTGTGCTCGTACAGGGGGTCTACAATTCTGGTGTGGGAAACTCCTCGTTCAAAGTTTGCATCTTATCATATCTTATATTGTTGGTACTTAATTTAGCAGTTTATATGTGTAGTTAATTATATTTTCTGTTTACAAAACATATTCTTAATGTTAAATAATTTAATATTACAAATTATCATCCATGTTTACACAGATGTGGGGCTGTTTTAACTGTTAGGCACACTAGGTGTGTGCTGGGAAACGGGAGCTTTGACCTGGGAAGATATGAAAACGGACTAATACCATTTTAGAAAATAAGGCTATATGCTGTAGTCTAGTTCCTACCATATCGGATTGAGCTGTCGACCATAGTGGGTGATCATAGTGTCAGAGGAGGCCTAATGTACCCAAAACCCTAGGGCCTACCCTGGGTTAATATGACTCTGAATTTAAGTATAAAAAACAAGAAAAGAATTGTGTAGATTTACTAGTAAGCAATCTACATAAGATTTTATATTAGAAGCTATTGATGATGGCTAGCTTTTGTCGAGCATAGCAGTCAGTATCATGTTGTGAGATTTAAATAGTAAGAGGTGTGATATAATTTCTAGAAAATAACAGCGTTTGAACTGATTACATATTGAGTAAGAGGTGCAGTCAGCAATCTACTGGAAGATTACTTTGAATTCTCAGTTACTGTTGTTTAATTCTGTCCGGAACTTAGTGGCTCTAGCCAGTTCTGAGTCTAGATTAATAAGGAAATACTCTATGTATTTTATTTGTTCAAAAATGGGCTAAAGAGGCTCCACTCTTTAAGAGCTTTCGACAACAAATTTTTTCACTCCTTGTGGTAATACTCCTAGCAACTTTGCATTATTGTTGATTGTAAGCTTTATTGATTTGTTTATTATTGTTAATATGTAAGACAAGGAAAAGAAAGGCATGCCATAACAACATTGGATTTATATTTTATGAGAGTGCATGATCCACAGCAGTTGCCTAAGGATGACCTTTATGGGCACTGTCATCATAGAACCAAAGTTATGCCCAGCACTACACTATAGTATGAGATTGTTTATACTATCTCCTCCGGGAATGCAACATGGCATATAATGAAAACATCTCTTACCAACTTGGCCTTGCCATTTCATTTCAACAGCCTGACAAGAACTGGTGTGTTTAGCAAAGGATGGTCCATTGTCTCGTAGATCTGTCTAGTGATGATTTAATATTTTAGAGGAGTCAAAACTTCAGATTATGTTTGGAGATTGTCATCTTGATCTTTGAATGAGACTTTGGAATCATTAAACATTTATCACTCGATCAGTTATCATTAATTTATGATACAGCTTTAGTAACTTTTAAATTAGGTAAATTTATATAGAATGATGATTGATTTAATGTATCTGATAGCTCAATATGATTTATTTTTTAAGTAAATACCTACAAATAAAACAATGTCATCATAAGAAATCTATTTATCCATTTAGAGCATTAATTGCCTATTAAGTTACTGTTTAGAATACGGAAACATTTAAATAGCTACCACTCCTTTGGAGTTTGAATTAACTAGGTTGATCTTTCTAACTGTTCTAATCCATTGTTACTAATTCTTTGTTGTTTCTTTGTCGTATTGTATTTTACATCATTACAAAATGTCTTGGTTGGAGGTGGATAGTTTACAAACTACCACTCATACAGAGTACAGGCTCTAGTACATAGTCTGTAATATAGGCTGTCACCTGCATTCCATCCATCTTTAGTACAGATTACAGACTAGAGTCTATATTTAGAAGTGTTGGCATACCAAGTGAGAAGGCTGAAGGTGGGTAGAATATAAGCTAAGCCTGTACTCTTCAGTCTTTCATTTAGTATGCCACAATCGGCTGTTGTTCTCAGAACATATGAAAATCATCACAGTGTATATTCTTGCAGCTCCTTTATTATTTCCATCACATTCAAACAACCACAAATTATTTTACTTATCTTTCGCTGCAGTTATCTATTTCATCGTTTTTTTGTCTTTCTTCTTTGTTGCTTGACATTCGGCGCATAATAGTTCGACTGGACATGCCACTATTTTGTACTCATTTCTTTTACGGCATAGTAATATTTCCTCGTCACAACTATTGCAGGTTTTTACAGCCGCAGCCTATCCGAATGATATCTTCATCCATTTCTGTGTTTTTCTGTAAGAGTGATCTTGAATTCTAGACCTTACGCAACTACTTTATATAGAATTAATTAACTTTAATAATGTTAAGAGAAATCATGAATTGAAATGGTGTCAAATTAGTGGATGTATTGAATTTTTTGTATGTACTGTATATATGTATATAAACCTGTACTGTACCTTATAATATGATATTGTATACTGATTAATCTATCCCATGTTTGTATGTAAGTAAATTTATGCTCGATATTTATATATTTTCTTAATAGAGAAAGCTTTCTACGATGCCAGTAAAGATTTTAATTGTTTGGATGGTTCGGGTACCATTTCATTTCACTACATAAACGACGATTATTGCGACTGTGCCGACGGCTCCGACGAACCGGGTAAATATAAAATTAATATGATCTAAACTTCTTAATTTATAAAAATAGCGTGTCGTTTTAGAGAAGGTAGTAGTTAAATAAGATTAAGTGATGATATTGAAACCCACCGAACTGCACCCGTCACTTGAAATATTCAGTTCTTTGGGTATCTGTTAAAGTACAGCCAGAGAATTAAGGGCTAGTTTACGTGATGCAAGTACTGCCGACATTTTGTTGCTACAGGTTCCTGATGTTATATTATTATTTTATATTAAATATTTTAAACTTTCTACTTAGGAACGGCTGCTTGTCCGAATGGAATATTTCATTGTACGAATGCCGGATACATTCCAAAAGACATACCTTCGTCACGAGTAAATGACGGAATATGCGGTAACCACCATAAATTTTTACGTAAGTTTTCTTTAATAAAAGTATAATTAAGTTAATAAATAATCATTGCAGATTGTTGCGATGCTAGCGACGAATACAACAGTACGGCAGAATGTCTAAACACGTGCAAGTATGCTTTATTTTCTTTGTTTTTTAATTATTTTAATGTTGAGAAGGTGCTCTAAGATTCCTTCGCAAACAGGGAATTAGGTAACAAAGCAAAGGAAGTGGCAAAAAGACAGCAAGATGCGTACTTGAAAGGTTATCAACTGAGGGCCGAACTCACTAAACAGGGAAAACAGAAAAAGGAAGAATTCAAGGTTTTTATTTACTTTATTTTCCTATTTTAAAAATTATGCAGCATAAACAAATTGCCAGATATAAGTCAAAACGGCTGAATTCTGTGCTACAGTTTAATTGATTCGTTAATGAAATTTGCTTCAAAGATTGCACCCTGAACTTTTGCATAGAGGTGAATAATTAGGGTTTACACACCTCTTTGGCAGTTGAAATGAAGCAAAATGAAGTAGCCACAGAATCCGGACAATGTTGAATGGCAAGCATTTACACTCTTTTTCATTACAAGGGGGAAAAGAACTGCAGACATCTATCAAAAAGTGAGGATGGGATATGCAAATATTGTGTGGGATAGACACAACAAACGTGTGGCATGCAACTGTTAACTGCCAGAGTCACGCTCTTTTGTGATAATGTCCAATTGCATTCTGCTCAGACTACAATTCCCTATTTTTTCCAGACTGTTTTACCATGCAGCTGCTACATATCTGGACCACAAAAACAACACTTAAGAGGCCATATGTTTTCCTTGGATGTTGAAGTTTTGCAACTGGTTGAAATTTCTTCCAGTGACGACTCGTCGACTACTCCAAAAGCATCAATTGGCTAATAGCCAAGTCACTTTCTGACTGTCAGTTTATGTTTCGGAATAGAAACCTCTGACTTTCAATACTAAGAAATTAGTGTTTAATTTGCAATGGCTTGCTTAACGACAGGTAGGGTCGTAAAATGGGGGGGTCTACTGTAAGTTGTGATACTACTGCAAGAACTGTAATAGTTGATTTATTAACGGATCTCTGTAATCTATGCACTTTATAAGTCAAGGGATGCTTAAATTGTGTTTGTTAGACTAGAATTTCCGTTCTTTTATATTATATAATATTTATAAACAAAATAAATATATTGTATTTAATTTGCTTTAAATAAATCATGTAATGTTTAGGTCCGATTAGAAGAACTTAAGAAAGAACAAGAAAAAATGCAACGTCTGAGGGACGAGAAAGAAGGTATTTTAATTTTCGTTAATTATTTGAGAAAGTTTGCATTATAATTTCAAAGTTCAAATATAAAAATTTCACTAGCTGTTAAAAAGGAAGTGGAAGAAAAAGAGAAAGCGGCATTGGATACTATAGAAAAGGAGAAACAAGGTAAATGATTAAATTTACTTATTTACTTTTGTATATTAATATTGAGAACGTAGCAGTTTTTGGCATAAACCTAGGCTTCAAAGATCAAAAGTCTTGCATTCTAATGAACTAACTAATTCAAACTTTAATGCAGTGTTAAATATGTGATAAGGACTTATTTATTACATAAAACTGTGTAAAAGAGAACTTGAGGTTCATCATAAAGCTTTGCCTTGGATGTTTTGAGCATAGGACATTATGTTTTGCCTATTGAGCCTCATAATCTTTACTTAATTATAGTATACAAGGTGCAAATGAAAATGTTGCACCACCTTCGTCACAAGACTATTCAGAAAAGCGTATGAAGTTCCCTCTGTCTTGTTTCGATGGCATTCAGCTGCATCCCCTTTAATGAGACAAAAAGCATTTTGTTCTAGCTTTGTGATGCTCTATGACTTTGTAATTTAAACTGTGTTGCTATTTTTTGTAGGAGCCAAGGTAGGATTTAGGGGATGCATGGTGACTAGGCTATACTCTTCTGCACTTGTATTTAACTAATATGTAGTCAAACTAAGATATAATTCAATGTATTTGTGTATACCCCTTATAGAGTTTGACAGTTGAAACCCATGCTCACTTCTTAGTTTAGATTTAAGCTTTAAATAAATGAAGTAGATAAGTAGAAGAGAGATAATGTTATTGTATATATAGGACTATTAATTTACTTTAACAGAGAAGGAGAAAGAAAAAGAAAAAGAGGAAGAATTGAAAGGTGAACAGGAGGAAAGGGTCAGTGCTACACAAGCATTTCAAGAGCTGGATGTTAACAATGACGGCAAGTGAGTACTCTCTTCTATAAATAGTTTTTAAGTAATGATACTAAATTCTTAAATATGAAAGTATTGATAGTCTCTTCTTGTCATTTACTCTCAATAAATAATTGGTTTGTGTGAGTGAGGTGATGATTTATATACTTAAAAGTATACAAATACAGGTTTTATCTGACTTTTGGCTATAACAACTTTTTAAAAGTGCATACGAAAGTCAAATGTTTGTGTGCTGAGCAATAGAGTTACACAATGACTTGTGCATTAACACACTTTAATAAGTCTGGACAGTAAAGAGGGTTAATAGGCTGTCTTCCAAGATTAATAGTTGTCAGAGAAGGGTATACTTTTTTCTTTGTACAGTTCTGATAGCCTTTCTTGAGCTCAGGAACCTCAATCTGGCAAGAAGTAATCCACAACATTCTAGTAGGCATAATTTCCATATTGACATCAGGTACATACTCAATCAACAAACCAAGTTTCATGGTGGTCTTTCAAATCTTTAAGACTGTCACAATAAGATTTGGCTGGTGTAATCGTATTATAAGTAAAAAATGTAATTGCTACAATATATGCCAATCGCACAAACTTAAATAGCAACGAAAAGGTTTATTCAACTGGAAAAAACGAATGTTTTTGATTGTTTTTAATGATCATTAGGCTGATGTTCCAAGAATTGATCATTTACAAATGCTAACAGACATAGAACATAAATAATTAAATGCCAAACTTGCTTAAATATAAAAAAATATAGTTGCATTACATGAGTTTCATACTATAGAGTCAGAAACAAACATGTATAAAGAGTCAATTTATAAGGTTCTGGAAGAAAGTAGGATTTGAAACCACAACTCCCGCTTGCCATACAGATGCGTTGCCAGTTATGCTACTCCCTGGACCTCTATCTACAGTAGAGCATCGATTATCCGAATATCGATAAGCCGAAACATCAATTAACCGAAGGCTTTCCAGTCGGCAAATTTAAATTTCCAGTAGTGCTGTGGCACTGCAATCTTCGGCTGTCTTGGGCTACTCCAATATTATTTTTGTTGGTGTACATGTTTTAGCTGGCAGCATTGACACAACCATGAGAGGGTACTTAAAGACGTGCCAGGATTTAAACGAATTTCAACATGGGATAGGCTATATTTTTTCATACATAATCAGTTATCCGAAAAATCAGTTTGCCGAACAACCCCAGTCCCCAATTGATTCGGATAATTGATGCTCAACTGTAATTTTTGCTGCCAGAACTTTTAATTGATATATAATCATACTTATTACTTATGGCATTGACTGGGACTTTGGGCTGATTCTTTTCTTCCAGAACTTCCAAATTAATTATTATTTAATTATGGATATTAAAATTATTAAGAGATGGCACCTAATGCTTACCTCAAGGCCATTTTATTTCATATTTAATTAGTGACAAGTAACATTAATATAACCCAATATAATCTAGCAATTGTTTAGTTTTAGCAAACTTTTTGTTGCAAGTTAAATTGCTGTAATTGAATAAATTAATTACACTGTACTACTTTCATTTTTGTCGCAGATTTGTCATATGAAGATTTGAGAATTTTTCATTTAAATATTTAATTATTTTACAGGGTTACTTATCAAGAACTTCAACAGTTTTCAAAATTTGACTATAATCATGATGGCACTGTATCTGAAGAAGAGGCAAAGGTAATGTAGATTCTTGAGTTATTCTTCTTTCCCCTTTCTACTTAATTTAGATACCCAAGAGATGCCAAAAATCCTAAATTGAATAGAAGATGAATGCTGTCGAGTTTTCTCTTAGTTTCTAGTCTGTTGCGGCCGGATGGCCGAGCGGTCAAGGTAGCAGCCTACCACACTGGGGGACCCAGGTTCTAATCCGAACGGGTCGAAAAATCCTCAGGAATTTTTCAGGGGGTGGTTCGTTCGGATTATGTCGAGCACCAGTCCCTCGCCACCTGGCAGCCCCATTGTGGGCCTGGCCAAACCCATAATGGGCTTGCAAAAAGAGGCCCTCTTAGTGCCCACAGGGCAGAAAGAGTTAAAAAAAAAAGTCTGTTTGGATCAGATAAATGTTTTATTCTTAAGAAAATGTTTGGTCTGATGTAATATGGCAATGCCACATTGGCAATCTATGAAGGAGGTGCCACCCGGGAGGAGTTTTTATAAAAAACTGATTTCTATTTAGGTGTTTGACATTGAGAAAACCCAGAGAACAACTTTTGTTCAGGTGCAAACCCATGACCAGCTTCTTTTGTTTGGTGGCTTTATCCGCTCGGCCACTTTTGGGTCTTAAGAAAAGGATTTGAGTTTGGAAACTTAAATTGTCCTTCACAGCTGGAACTTATCATGACAATAATCAATCTCATACCTTTCTTATGTCTTCCAGCAATATTTTATTAATGGTTTACTGAGTGTTTCCTCTGTAAATGATTTGATTCAAATGTGTAGAACCTGAAGCAGACATGTAAACTAGACGTAAGGAAAGTGAGATTGATTATTGTCACGTTATGTATTATTTGCTCTGCTATTTTGCATTTGCTGATGATAGTTGTCAGATGGTATCGAGTATTTTACATCTGATAAATATGGTAGCGTCTTTATAGTCCGACAGGTCCAGTAATCTGATGTACTGCAGGACAGTGCACACATGAATTTTCATGTTATCGATTGTCGACATACGCAACAGATAGAGACTGATGTTGCTATATACTGCTAGTTGTTTGCTGTATGTGGTGTTGGAAAAACAACACAATTGTAATTGATATAATAAACTAACATGTGAACCAAGTGCGTTCTTTTACTGTATAGTATATATGTAAAAAACTCTGTAATCCAACACTTGCCATTCCAAGATATGTTGGTTTACAGAGATTCTGTTGTAGTTTTATTGATGTTATATAGTAGAACATCCTCTAATTATTGTATGGAAGTTTGAATTCAATGGAAAGAGTAGATTGGAACAACATTCACATCTGTTAATTAATAATACAGTCATGTAAAACACATCAAGTATTCCTTATTTTTGAATTTTTACATTGAAATATAATAATTATATTTGCTGTAGTTTTTCCTTCATATGAAAGAAGAAATGAATCTAGAAGAATTCATAACAACTGGATGGATGATAATGAAGCCTATATATAAATATTTAATGGATGAGGTATATATTTTATCATTTGTTAAATTGTTACAATAGGCTCTTAAATGTGATTACTTATTTAGGTAACCGAAGAAACACCGAGTGAAGAAACTGCTGCACCTGAACCCGTCGATGGTGGCGATAAAGATAAATCACAAGAAGAACGAGAAGTATGTTTCTATTTCTGTCCTAATTATTCTTGTAATGTTGAATAGTAATTTTTTTTCTAACTCAACTTAGGTCGAGGATTTAGACAGTATGGATGACGAACCACTCGAGGGAGACGAAGACGAAGAGGACGACGAAGACTTAGAACCAATGGAATTTCCTCCAAAAGAAGATTTGCCTGCTCCAGAAGAAAAAGCATCAAAACCAATGTATAGCGAAGAAGTACAGCAAATTATTGATGGTTTGCACGGTTTAATTTTTTGTAACTTAAAATTACATGTTTACATTTTATTCATTAATGTAATTTTTAATGCCATTTTAGCTTCTAAACAAGCCAAACAAGAATTTGAAGAAGCTGATAGAAATCTTCAGAGGATCATTGACGACATAAGGTTTGAATGTTAGTTCTTAAAATTTCATTTAGCGAAATATTCTGTCATAACAAATTATTTTATTAAAGAGATGTGGAGCAAAGTTTAGAGTGTGATTATGGACCAGAAGAAGAATTTGCTGTCTTAAAAGGTCAATGTTTCGAATATCACGACAGAGAATATGTATATAAATTCTGTCCTTTTGACGTTGCCACTCAGGAACCAAAATCAGGTGGATCTTCTGTCACTTTGGGGTGAGTTTAAGAAATGATAAGTAACTTCAGAAGTAATATGGAATTTGTGTGTGAATTTCTTCTATACATTTCAGAAAATGGTCAAAGTGGGAAGGTCCGGAAAATAACAAATATTCCGTAATGAAATTCGAGGGAGGCGCAGTTTGTTGGAATGGACCCGCAAGATCAGTCGTGGTTAGTAATATTCTTTACAATATGAAATTAAAATGAGAAATGGAACTCTACAAGTTACAAATTTTTCATTCGTAGGTCAAAGTATATTGTGGAATTGAAAACAAACTTTTCTCGGCAACCGAACCCAGCCGATGCGAATACCAGTACGAATTTGAAACTCCAGCCCTGTGTTCGACGCCGCCGGCTTTCGAAAGTATACACAAAGACATACATACAGAACTTTAAACTTTTTATCATTGGATCATTGTTCAGTTTACACGAATCATTAATCATAATACATTGTTTTCCACATTTAAATTTCGAAAACAAATCTTCCCACAAGCTACCGTGACATTCCACTTATTGGTTAATAAACAGTTTAATGTTCGTGAAGTGTTTTCTTTATCTTAATTTATACAATAGTTGTCAAGATCCTTTTTAATAAATACATCTAAAATGTTAATGGAATTATTTTTTTCTTCAAATTTTACCAATTATATTTTAGTTGTAAGCAAAATTATGGTTTGTTTGTTGTGCTTTTTTGGCAGACCACACCAATGAGTCAAAAGTTCAAATTGTTATGCAATTATATGGGAATTATGTGTATTAATTTTACAGTATTGATATAATATTTGAAAATATCAGTGGTTAAATCTGCCAAATGATGATAGTCAGTCAAAGGTTTGAGCCTTGCAAATGGACTGACCGCTGACCACTTGGAATTTCTCGAGGCTCTAGCTGGGAGGTGTTGACAACAGTTGAAGTTTAACATAATTCCCAAAATTCAAGATAACTGAAAAAAATGAAAAGTAAATGATGTATGCAACTAAATTTAACTGCAAATAAAATTTTCTTTTACTATCTCAATACATGTTTTAGCCTTTGAACGATGAACTGCTATCAGTGGCTGAGTGGAGAAAACCACTGAACATGTAGTTGGGTTCACACCATGCCAAAGGATCAGACACATGAAATTTTCTGGCTTTTTAGGTGTTATAAACATGAAGAAAAGCCAGAAAGTTTCATGTCCAAGATGGGTCATCTGCCAAGAGAGCCGTCTCCCAAGTCCTCTTGTGAGACGGCTCTCTTGGCATATGAGCCATGTGTCGTGTTGCTGAATACAAACAAACATGAAATGTGAACTCACTACCACCTGATACTATTTTAGGTTTTTGAATGGGAGCTGCTGTTACCATTGGATACTGACGCCCCGAAGATCTTAAACCTAGGTTCCCTAGCTTACACAAATGTGAAATTTGGACTTAATTATACAACCCATAGTATGCTTGTGCTTCGTACCAACAACCTAATCTTGAACTTTGTTCTCTAAAACTCTCAATTTGTATCCTGCATCTGGATGGCTGAAGTGGCAAAGGCTGATTGCTCTGTGGACCTGGATTTGAGATTTGAGTCTAAGTCAGGAATTTGGAACCTTGAGAAATTTTCAGTTGTATTTTTCCAATTACATCCACCATGGGGCAATCACACAGTACTACATACTGTGTGATTGCTCCATGGTGGGTGTAATTGGGCGATATCTGCCTTGTGGCTTTCTTAGCAAAAATGTTTTATGTCTAATGAAAAAGAAGATAAGATTCCTGATAATTTATGATTATGTATTCTCGATTCCCACTGTGGCATACTGATACAAAGATCACGCGACTAAAGACTACACCCAGAAATCCTGTAATTGGTCTTGGATTTGCACCTGGCCAATGGATTTTCCAGGGGTTACTTCACATACACCTAAATTCTGGTCAGTTTTTCATAGAAAGTTCCTCCAGTAGTCCATAGAAAATCCTTTTTTGGTAGATCACCAATGTGTTGAGATGTACTGTACCAAGGAGAGAGTGCATGTTCATCAATACAATCATACACTGAAAAATCCAGGACTAAATTTGGTCTAGACGAAAGCTTAATTCATATTCCAAAACTATATTTTACTGTTTGTCTATGTGAAAATATACTATTTGGAACTATTGATGTATGAGAGATCCAGTATCGAGTGTACACAAGATCTGACGTATATTTTTTCCTGTAATTATTCCATTAAATTTTCAGGCACCTCAATTTTGCTCCTGGTGGCAGGAGTTCATAACGTACTGTACAGTCAGAATTTTAGGTATTTGCATTTTTCTTTTTTAAATTTCGCTTATATTTATCGCATGAGTGCCCTCATACACCTTTTGACAGGTGTGCTGGTTTGTAAAATAGTAGTATACATGGCTGTTAACGAAAGCAGAACTAAATGGTAAAATAAATCATCCTTTAAACAGAACCATGAGTCATTCGTGACGGGAGGGTGATGAAGTTTACATAAAATACATTTTTTAAATATAAGTTTATCACGCTCCCCCTAGAAAGATACGGTTAATCACTTGTTACGAATTACTTGTATTACGATTTAGCAGCAGTTATTTGACTTAAACGGTCGTAAATGGTTAAAACTGCAGTTTAGGGTCTCATATTTTAATGCGTATCATTATTTGGCGAAATAAAGGGGGCATGCTGAATGGTTAAAGCTTCAGCCTACCCCTTTGGAGGACCCAAGAATTTTTCGGATGATGGTGTAATCTAGATATGTCGGGGCCCGCTCTACCAACCTTTATTGATATGATTATAAAGGCCCATTTAATGCCCACAGGAGTGAAAGAATCAAATAACAAAACAAAAACATCAGCGTGCAATTTATCTAGCTAAGAGCTAAACTGTATTGCTAGAAAGTTACAAGCTAAATCAATTTCTTGTAGCTTTCTAGCAATGTAATTTTAAAATGGCATGCTACTCACGAAATATATAATTTACTACATTATGAATTAAAAGTGTATTGATAGAAAGTTAAAGTTGAATAGGTTTTCATCTAAATATATTTTTAACTCAAAGTCTTTTACGATAGGTGTAATCTAGTAGCGTACTTGTTGCAAAGGTACAATGTGAAGTGGATGCTTATTACCTTCCTGCAATACATTTTTAATTCGAAATACTGTACTTATTTACGAAAGATAATTTAGTGAATTAATTTAAAGTACTGTACTTCCTTTATTTTAAAACGAATAGGCGGAAAATTTTCGATGTTTTAACTCTTTCTACCAACTTATTATTAATATAGTTAGAGTTTAGTGTAATTAGCATAAATAATAGTAAATATATATATATATATATATATATATAAATTTACTATTATTTATAATATATATATTATAATTATAATTATTTATAATATATATATATATATTGTTAAAAGCTATAAAAGAGTCTTGTAGTTTTCCAGCAATGTATTTCTATTAAATTGTTTTATTTTTGTTTTGTAAGTAGTATGTTGTATTAAAACTTAGCACACAGGTTACAAAAAATTCAAATTAGCACGTTTAAAGTTAAAAAAATACATTGCTGGAAAGCTGAATTGTGTATAATGTCTGTCAATATACACATTTTTGTCGCAACTCTATTAAATAGAACTCGATATAATGTTACTCTTTTCGTATCAGACACTTCGTTCCTTTAATGAAACGCTTGATGAGTAATACAGGAGCAACAACTCTTATTTTGCATTTTTATTAATTGTTTTGTTTTCGTACCACGTATTACATCACACAAAACTTTCCGATAATACGTCCATTAGTGTATTCATAGCTTTCCTTAGAAAGTTATTATAAATACCTGAAAGATATTAATAGAATGGATGCATATCGAAGATAAACATGAAAAAAAGGGCAGACATCATGCTTGACTGGTTCTTAAATATTTCAGTTCTTAAAGTATGAATCACAAATGAGGTGAATTGGAAATGAGATTATTATTCACCTTAATAAAACTTACATTTCATAATCTATCTTATGCAAATTTCATCATAAAATACATAATTTTGGCAAATTTTCGTGTTAGAATGACACATTTCGATTATTTAGACACGAAATTGCAGGTTACGAGACACTTATTTGGTAGACATTGTAGTGTGTTTGCTGGAAAGCTAGGAGCTTGCTGGTGGCTTACTAAATGTATATGTTTAACGAATAACAGACAGGTTAAAACTAACATAAAACGTATTAAGGATTAAGAGTCTATTGCTGGAAAGCTGTAAATAAAAGATTTAATTACAGCTTTCTATTAGTAAATTTTTAACCATTTAAACTACAAATGTAAGCAATTATTATATTAAAAAAATTCCAGCAACGAGTTGAGTAACTTTCTCGGCAAGAAATTTAAAATTGTGGTGGCACCATTTGTTATGATATTTTATTAAAAACTTTTTATATTATTAATTATTATAAAATGGCGGAAAGCTTGATTTTGAGGGTAGAGGAGAGTTATATATATATATATAATTTAATTTAAATGCTAATAAAGAGTAAAATTTTCATTAAGAGCTTCTTAGAAAGTCAAGTGTGTGGCTTTCCAGTAATACATTTTAAACTGTTATCATATTCAGTTGGAAAGCTAAAAAAATAAAATAATACTTTTCGTAGTAATTTAATACATTAAAAATCAAAACTGTATTGCTGGAAAGTAAAAAAAAACAAAGCTTTCTAGCAATACATTTTAAAATACGTTAATAAAATAATAACATTTTATCAACGTATTTTAAAATGTATTGCTAAAAAGCTTCATTTTTTTAACTTTCCAGCAATACAGATTTAATTTTTAATGTATTAAATTACTACGAAAAGTATTTTTTTAATTAATTAAACGAATTAATTTCTTGATAAATATTTAAATTTTTAAACGAGATTTTTGTATTTTCGCTTTTCTGTATGATTTTTTTAAGTTTCTATGTTAGGATTTTTCTTTAAAAAATGCAAAAATTTAGCAGAAAATTTCGAAAAAATCAACTCGAATGTATATAATTTTTAAAAAAAATAGACTCAATTACTTTAGAAAATTACAAAAATTGATAAAATAGTCTAACTTTTTAAGTAGGGGGAGGAGATTTTATTGCATTAGAAAATTATTACAGGCAGAAAAAAATAGCACAGAATGACTGAAAATAGCATGTTAAATTGCAAAACAGGAATAAAGGAAACATCATTTATCTAGTATTTCTACGAGAATAATTGAATTCATTCACTCGTATCGTTACTAATGGCGTATCTGTTTTTATTGCGTGAAAGCGTTTCATTATATTTATTAAGTTTAATCAAAATTTTAAGTGTAATTCCGAATTTTCTCGACTGTAAACGATTGTAAATCGTAACTTTAACTAAGAAAGGAGGGGAAGTTACGAAATTTTTTTTATTATTGACGCATGAAGAATTACATTAACGCATTAAAGAAATGGTATTTCTCGAATAAAATTTCCGAAATTACAGCCTTTGTTCGTATATTGTTAGAAAGAACTTGGGCTTTTTCAATGTCATCAATTCATAAACGTCATTAAACGCTCGTTTTAACACGATTAATTGCTCGTTCTGTGTGTCGGTTCTTCATCAACGATAATAACCTGAATTCGGGAAGTAACAAACGTCTCTTTTCTCGAAGTGAACGTAACCTTAACGCTTCATTATCACTTAGAAATAGGTCATCGTTACTTTAATTAACATAAAATGGTTATTTATCATATTTCAAAAAATATTTGAAAAAATTATCTATGGCATTTTAAAGGTTTTTGTAATACTGAGTCAAGAAGATAATTGTTTTGTTTATGATACGACTTGTCTTTAATTTTTGTAAATCGAGTAAATTACCATATTTAAGTCGTTACGTCGTTAAAATTTGCGTGTTAGTTTTTTTTTTTTTGAATAGAGGCGTATGGTGTTTACATATTTAGTACGTGTATATTTGGTGAGTAATTACGTTTTCTATCACGACCTGTTACCAACGATGACGTGGTGACGATCCCTTTGGTATATATATAACCCTTTACAAGTGACTT